ACCATGGACAATGGTATGGAAGAAAAAGATGGAGTGTTGGCTCGAATTGTTACTGATGACGAAACTTGGGTTCACCATTATGAACCTGAGTCCAAACAGGATTCTTCTATGCAGTGGCACAAAAAAGGCACACCACTACCCAAGAAATTTAAGGTGGCACAATCGGCTGGGAAAATCATGGCAACAGTCTTTTGGGACGCGGAAGGAATCCTATTGATCAATTATAAAGATAAAGGTGTCTCCATAACCGGAAATTACTACGCTTCAATCCTAGAACAACTGAAGGAAGCCATAAAGGAGAAAAGAAGGGGAAAATTGACCAAAGGAATCCATCTTCTGCACGACAACGCGCCTGTTCCAGTTGCGATTGCTGCCGTGCAGAGGTGGGCTTCGAAATTTTGCCACACCCACCCTGACCTAGCCCCCAGTGATTATTATCTATTTCCAAACTTAAAAAAAAAACTTCATGGGAAAAAGTTTTTAAGTGATGAAGAAGTGAAGGAAGCAGTTTTGCAGTGCGTATTTTTTAGACAAAGACGAATCATTTTTTGAGGGTATATATAAGTTAATTGAAAGTTCCGAAAAATGGGTAGCAGGTGTTAGCATATTGAAAAGAAAAAATAAATTTGACTTTTTATTTCCACTCCTTACCCCCATTCCGCGAACTTAAAAACGCACCCTCGTAGATAAAATGAGAACATCATCAATGTAGTCGAAGTCAATTAAATACGTATTATTAACGATAATTCAAAAACTACTGGTCAGACCTTGATCAAATTTATATGGGACGACATGAAAGGACCAACTTTCTAATAAAAAAAAAGAATCATCAAAATGGGTTCATCTAGAAAAAAGTTCCGAGTACCTCCTCCTTTTTTCATTAATCGAAGTCGGTTGAAAACCAAATAGAAGTACATGCACAACTTCTCTATATTTTCCCCACACGCTGGTGAAAATCTTAAATCAGTAGGTACCCTTACGCACGCTCACATAGACAGCCAGTGCGAGTGTAAGACGATGCTTTCTTTTGCCAGTATCAAGTAATAATATTATGTACTAGCTGTGCCCACGGCGTAGCTCGCATGCATACGTTTTACTTAAAGAATTTGACGTTTAGGGTAAGAGAATATTAAACGATTTATATCATTACTCTATGAATAAATGGTAACAAAATAAATCGATATTCTTCTAAGTCGTTTATGATAAAACTTCTGTGTAAACGACGTTAGAAGTAGACTTAGCCGGGGCGTACAGAAAAAGGTTACGGGGACTACTAACGCGGGAAAAAGCAACATAGAGTTGGCCATGTGCAAAACAATCAGTACTGAAGTCCACTGCTGCAACGCCTAAAGTTTGACCTTGCGCTTTATTTACGATCGTCGCATAACAGACGCTGAGTGGGAAACACGCTTAAAATAGGGATATTCGATGATCATCGATGTTAAAAATTAAAACTTCGATGTTTTAACATCGATGTTGACACATGTCAAACATCGAAACATCGACGTCAATAAACCCATAATCGATAATTGGGAACTTGCAAACAATGCGAACCCGCAAAATCAATATCAACTAATCTTGCATCTGCTCTGAAGATTAAAAATTTTGAATAATTCAGAATTCCTGAACGAATCGTTAATCTAAAAAAAAGTCAGTATGGTGTGTCAAACTTAATTGTCAAGTGTCACCTGTAATGTCATAATGGTCACTGCTTTCGCTTTATTTTGTAGTGTCGTTGTCGGTTGTCGCATAATAACTATTATACGTAAATTGATATTCAATTTATTTGTTACTTTTCCCTTGATGTGTATACCCACATAATTTTGAAACAGTGTGTAAGTATCTTACTTACACATATACAAAAAACATCGATAATGGTCAACATCGATGTTTAGAGTAGGCTAAACATCGAACATCCATGTTGAGCTATCGATGCCAACATCGATGTTTCTGCAACATCGATCATCCCTATCTTAAAATTGAAAGGAAAGTTATTTGGTATTAGAGGGATTCTGGGTATAAAACAATATCACGACATTTTATTGCAATTTTGCTACTTTTAGTCGAGTTTTGTTGAATAACTTGGACGTACGTATCTTTTTTGCTGGTTTTTGTTTCTGATGATGTTTGTGATGTTAGCCTACACGGCTCTTACAGGCTTACAGCTTCATCGGACTCATGGACATAAATTTCTTCAGTGAGTCTAAATACGATTCACCGGCGAAAAATCTTAATACCGCAATTCAGAAAAGGTTGTAATTTGTACAACGCCATCTATTACGTTCTTTGTGAGAAAACATCCTTTTTTTTAATTAAGGAAAACATATAGTAGGGTAACATATTTTTTTTACTGTGTTTTAAGTATAAATATATTATAATAGAACGTTTTTTTATACACGAATCTTTTTATTACTATTTCTGAGATTTTATGGCACCATTAAACAAATTCAAACCTACATTTCAAAATAATAATCATAACTTTCGATTGAGTTAACCAATTTTAATAAAACAAAGATTAAATGAACTCGATAATACACTTTATGATTTTCTTAAAGATATAATTGAAAAAAAAAGATGTTTACCCAAAACGTCATGCGTTCATAAACAAACAGACAGACCGTCAGACAGTACAATTCTAAAAATTATAAAAATGTACTTATTTAATGATTTTCAGTCCCCATAATAATTTTAGTCACAAATTAATATACTATACAATGTACAGAAACAGTCACAACATTCTATCACCATTTTTATTATAGGTACATGTATAGACTGAAACTGCCTCCACGATACAGGAGAAAATCCTAGTGTGGGTGTAACGCTTCCTAAATAATAATAATAATAATAATAAGATTTAGAGAGAGGTGGCGCTGTTAACATCAATTCTAAAAATAAGAGATTAATTGATGCGATTGATACAATAAAAAACATAAAAGAACTTATAAATCAGTGCCAGCATAGTAAGCAAAAAAGAAAGTTTGATCCTCGCCGAAAAACGAAATTGTTAATAGCTCTTTTAAAATTTGATTTACCACATAGAGGACTCGGCGGTCAAAGACATTTAAGTGTATACCTATATATTTAAATGTCTTTGTCGGCGGTAAAAAATAAATGAGATTGTCAACACGCAGTAGGGCAGCGTGTTATATAAAGATTGGAAGCAAATATGAAACTTATCTACAGGAAAACACCTTAACCTGCCTTTTTGTATCACATTTGTGCCACACCACCAGAAGTTGGTTAACTATTGTACTTTAGATGTAAATAATAAGGTTAATATATTTTTGTATATATTTATTATGTTCTTTATGTAATACTTTTGTTTACTGCGTTTTAGATATAATTATATCATTATAGAACATTATTTTACCTCATTTAATTTTGATTTGTAATATGATATTAATTTTTATTAATTTAAAATGTACTTAAAGACTCATCCAACGCCACTATTGAACAAATTCGTACCTATACTTAGTACCCACACTTCAGAATATTTGTCATAACTTTTGATGGAATGAACTGATTTTAATGAAATAAAGACTAAATGTAACCCGAAGATACCCTTTATATTTTCCTTAACGATTCTTATGATATAAATTAGTACTTTATACGTGATACGTTAACAAACAAACAGACAGACAGAAAATTCTAAAAATGGTAGAAATGTATTTAATTACTTATTTTTAATACCCCTCAATCACTTTTATTACAGAAATATAAAATGTACAGACATCTGCTATTTACATTTTTATTATATGTATAGATGTTATGCGCCACATTGCGATGTTTTTGGGAGATATTGAGCCAGCAGACATGCATGCAACTTTTGCTGATAATTATAACTTTTAACAAAAAGTAAAAACTGATTTCAAATTGCTAAAACATTATTTATTTATACCCTTAGGGATGAAATTTTTTCGCCGTATTTAATGGGTCCACCCTTATAATAAAAAAGAATCATCAAAATGGGTTCACAATCTGCGAAGATATCACGTAAAATAAATACAAAATAAAAAAAAAACATACACTCGAATTGAGAACTGACTTTTTGAAGTAGGTTAACAATATTCTGCTACTATCTGTTCCCCGCGACTTCACACGCGTGTTATTTAAAAATTGTGTTTTTGTTATAAGTACTATATATACTTTCATATGCACTTAGTGAAAAGCTGTTATTTTGACGTTACAAACAGACACTCCAATTTTATTTATTTGTATAGATTACAAATGTATGTATCAAAATACAAAATGAGTTTTGTCTAGTATAGTATACATAAGTCATTGCTTTTATACAGTCAAATCTGAAAGTTATATTTTTTAATGATAAGCCAGTGCTTGACTAGTGACCACCATCCCACCTGATAGTGAATGGTGATGCAGCCGAAGACAGTAAAGTGTCTTAGCAAAATCATATTCACTCCTACCTTCAATATACACCTACATTGTAATCGGATGGAAAGACAGATGCTGGCAAATTATTCCACTGCTTTGCTGCACGCGTACGCGTTATGAATGACAACTAAAGTAGTTATGGAGAATTGACCGTAACTTAGTGCGCAACATATCAAGGTCTGCGGCTCGCCTATCAGTATACACAGAAGTCTTTGTATAAGGTAAATACTTGCACCAGTTTCACAATATTTTTCTTGGTTATATATTTCGGTATCATCACCATGATGATATAAATAACGAACATTATTATACCATGATGATGCCGTGAAGCGAAACCAAGTTTCGTAATTTCGTAATTAGTATATTAATAATATAAAATAAATATTGTGTAACTAGTACAATTCTCTATCCAAATCACAAAAATGAAGCTAGAGTTTCACCAAGTAAATTATATCTTTGTATAAGAAGTTACCTATCTTTGTATATAGTAGATAAATTAAAAAATGACTTTCAATAAGGGTTATATAAAATATATACATATGTACAATATATACATACATGTGATCTATATTGAATAAAAAATGATTATATTCTATTCTACTCTATACCCTATTGTTGTGTCGCGTGTGTATGTGGCGTACGTCAACACGCCTTCGCATGAGGTCTGCCATCACGCGCGCTGAGTGAGACTCGGGCACTACCACTTCCAGCGCCATCACCGGCTCCAGCAACACAGATTCCGCTTCTTCGAACACCTGCGCACGGAAAAATGTACTCTAAACTTTCGGACATAATGTTGATTTTCCCAGAAAGACATTTATAAGTGCGTACGGAAAAATGTACTCTAAACTATTCGACATAGTGTCGTTTTTCCCAGTAACACATTTATATGGAAAGGAAATCCTCGTTTAATGTTTACTAGCGCCTCGTATTGGATTCGCCTGGGTAGAATCTATTAATGTGGCGTTATTTTAGATTTTTTTAATATTTAAATTTAAGACAGTCAAAGGCCATAGTTTTTCGAGGGAGGTATATATGTTCAGCAATGGACTTAAATAGACTGTAATGAAAAAAAAGGGCAATTTAATATATTTGAATAAGAAAACACTCACTTTTCTTAAACACTGCGCGACGGTGGCGGTGACCACCGAGTCGGAAGTGCCGCGGCCCATCTCCAGCCAGTGCAAGGTCACCTGCACATCCACCAGCTGCCAACAAATCACCATTTGAATCACGAGTTCACCTTTTTCTTACCTATATACTTTTTTGGACTTTTTACATGTTACATCATAACTTCTAACATTCTCGACAGTATTAGATTAAAAAAAAAAATAAAGAAAGATGGTAACATATAGCAATTTTATATAAAGAAAAAATTATATAGTACTTTTTATGTATTTTTTCGCATCTGTTAATAACAAAGATCATTGAAGTGTTTTATTTTCTTTTATAATTTCTTTTTGTTTATTTTGTTTTAAAATATTTATATAATTTATTCAAGTTATACATTTTGTTTCCCATTTTTATACAGTATTTAGGTATTTTATCTGTGTGGATAAAAAGAAGTAGATAAAATAAATAATCGATAATTATAACTGATGAAGATGTATTTTTTTATAAGCAATTTGCAGCTAATTTATGTTTTGAAATATTTTTAATTTCTTAGAAACGCGGCATATAGACATATATATGTAGGTGTGTATGGGCCACGTAGCTTAGCTTAAGGACGGCAAGCCTGATTACCAGTTAAAGGGTCTCCGTTTCTATACTCACCATACGAAACGCAAGAACATTATGCTGATATTCTGTGCGAGAGTGATCCTTTTGATTGTAATTCCCCGATCGGACCAACGAATTAGTGCTGCAATTCGCTACAGTATACCTCGGCTACGTAATTTTTTGTTCAAATAAGTCTGCCCTTTGTATTCTTTTATAATTTGTAAGAATAAATAAATAAATTTCTGCAAAATTATTTGTCGAACGCCAGAGCCTCGTTCACTAAAGAGCGGAGTACTACATTGCGTGTAGCTGAGAGTGACATTTGAATAAGTTATTACAACCCCCTTGCAAAGAGCAACACAGGCTACCGGCGGACCAGGGGAGAGTAGCTATAGCGTTTTTCTCGATACAGAACTGGCTGTCACTTTTGACAATGATTGGGAGGGGGGGATCTGCGCACACAAAAATAATTGTCTGTCGCTACTAAACTCACACATAACAATTAAAACAATACACTAACAATTTCACACACACACACACAGATACATTATAACACTATCGCTCGGTGACAGCTGCGACTCGGATACAGACTCGGATCAGTTGCTCGACCGATCCGCATATTCTATGATTAAAAATTACGTACATATGAAAAGTAACACCATCTTTTTATAAATTTGATGTGGCAGACCTTTTTTGTAAGACGTCTGATTCAGCCGCGGAACTAAATTTAGTCTAGTGAGCGTTTACGTAAATGCGTTTTATTGTACGCACGCGTGGACTTTTACTTTGACAGAGGGGAACGGCTGCGTATTGCTGCTTGCTTCCGGTACGCCGATGGCCCGTGTTCCTCTATGCCCCTTACATCTAATAGTTATTTTTACTGTGGGTCTTCCTAACAGTGGCAGAGATAGTACTCACGGGGCAGCCCAGCTTGGGCCCATGTCGCAATGCTGTAGTGACGCCCTGTTGTATGGCTTGCATAACGCGAGGATGCACGTGCGATAAGTTGGCAGCACTATCTGCCGACTTGTCCAGCCTGCACGTCCGAAATGAGAAAACACCTTATTATACTTTTGTAAGAAAATCGCGTGATTAACTATGATATCAACAGACGAAAACCCCCAAAAAAAGTGTAACTGACATAGCCCAGCGGATCCGGCGGAAGTAGCAATGGGCCTCTATATGTATATGGAGGAATCGACAAACGACGGGAAGGTTCTCAGGTGACAGATTCAAACAATAAATCGCAGTGTTGGGTTTTCCTTTAGATGGAGTGACAATCTGATGAAACATGCAGGGAATCTGATGGATGCAGGTGGCTTAGGATCGTTTTGTAAACGAGGTTTTACACCAACACTAGCCACTACACGGCCCCAATACCATCTACATCTATCCTCGTTTGCGAATCAAAATGCAGATGTGTTGTCACCCGTGACGACTAAGATGGAATGCCTCTTTTCCAGTAAAAAGGGTATCCGGTTCTCTACACTCATCATATGAAACACAGCAGTGTTAAGCTGCAATTTTACGCTGGTATTCTGTGGGAGCGTGTTCTTTCCCCGGTCGAGCCGACCCATTCGTGGTACAACTATACTACTAATATAGCTGCAGCATGGCTCTACCACGTATAAAAAATGTCCTTGTGAAATTTATATTTGTAAACTACCCCCACGATATTAGACGAAAATCCTAGGATAGGGTAACGTTTCCTTAAATATGCAATAATCCAAGAAGAAAACAAGAATAACGCAACTGACCTGAGAATCTTATCCTGAGAGATCCCTTTCACAGGCTTGGCGGACATGACGACCTTGACAGACTGTCGTACGTTGCCGATCTTGCGGTCGACGGTAAGCGTCTGCTTGCCGTTGCCTAGCAACGCCTCTCGGTACGCAATCTGCAGTGCACCGAGATCCACCTCGATTTTGTACTCGCGGATGATCCGCTCCTTGATTATCTCCAGGTGGAGTTCACCCATGCCTGGACAGAAAAATGAAAAACCTAAAACTCAAATTCTAGTGAATAGTTTCTAGTAAATAAAAATAGATTTCTAGTGTAAAACACATAACAATCGTTCAGTGGTGTGTTCTTAAATTTTTTACACTTTTTTAACTCTTTGTTTTTTGAAAAAAATTAGTTTTAGGAATATCCGTAGTTAGGTTTATCCATTTCTAATCTAATTAAAATAAATATACTTATATATACACTATATACTTCCCCACCATGACATCTGTCAAATATTTTATCTCATTCCAAAGTTGCGTCGCGTTGCCCGAAAAGAACCATGCCCACTTTTCATACATTTAAAAACGTAAGGAAAAAATATAAGGTATAGTAGAAAAACTTCTTGTAAGTTTAGAAAATAATGTCATGTAGTCATTTTTACGATTTAAACGCTACGAAGCCCAAAAATATTTATGTTACTCTTTAGGTTAGGATTTGCCGTTACCAAATACTTAATTTTTCTAACTCTTATTAATGTTCTATCACCACTTCCTCTGAGATTATACTGAGAATGAAATCTTGTGTATCCCTACATATTTCTATTCTACATGATCCATGAAAAACACATAAAATAGCACAATACACAACGAAACGTAAACGCAACAAGTGATTATATTCTCTTTGGCAACAACGAAGGACTGCGCCGATGCCAATCGTAGAACTGTCAAATGTCAAAAAAAATCCGTTTCACTCGTACGCACTCAATGACATACTGCATGATTAATGTATTTAATTATTAAGTAATTTTTAATTAATCTGTACTATACAAAGAGTAATAAAGAAATACATACTGATTAAATAAAACATAAAATAATGTTTAAAACGCAGAAACAGAATTCATTTAAGTCAGAGATTTTTGTTTAACAGAGTGTAATTAAGCGGTGTGTCAAATGGAACGTACTAGAAAAAGGGTAGTTGAGATGCGGTCAAAATATGGTGGTAATACGTTTACCCTTGACGTAGAATAAGCTTAAATAAATATTTAACTGCAACACTGCTGGCCGGATGAGGAAACTCAAGGTCGCTCACCTATGAAGAGGGCTATGCTCGGAGTTTTTCTGCGTGATAAACTTAAAAATGAGGATATCCGCAGTAGAACCAGTGACCGACATAGCGCAACGGATTAGTAAGCTGAAGTGGCAATGGGCCGGCCATATAGCTCGAAGAACCGACAACCGATGGGGAAAAAAGGTTCTCGAGTGGCAGCCTCGTACCGGCGGACGAAGTGTAGGGCGACCCCCCACTAGATGGAGCGACGACCTGGTAAGACATGCAGGAAGTCGATGAATACAGGTGGCTCAGGACCGTGCTTTGTGGCATTCCTTGGGGGAGGCCTATGTTCAGCAGTGGACTTGTGAAGGGCTGTAATGATGAATGATTGGTTCGCTGTAACATAGAATATTTTTGTAATGTATGGTATCCCACTTATCAAAACAATATTCAACGATTGGAAAATGTTCAAAAGAAGTTCATTCGCAGACTCTCATACGTTGCTGGAGTGCATCACACTATAAGAGGTTATGAGAAAAAGCTCGATTATTTCTCCCTAAAATCATTACATCAGCATGCAGACAAACTCAGACTGGTTTTCCTTTACAAGCTCCTTAGTGGTGCCATTGACTGCCCTGAATTACTTTCCCTAGTTGGAATAAGAATCCCCAGACCATCGACTCGGCTGCACACCTATGCCCCATTATTTGTGCCTAGAAGAAGGAACAATTATGGAAAGAATAGCCCCATATCACTTGTTTTATCCAGATATAATCGACTTTTTAGAAAGGCAAGCATAGATATAGATATTTTTTCAGACAGTGTTAGCCAATTTCTAGTGAATGTTGAAAAGCACATCGAGTAACTCGATATAAACTTTCATCCTAAATGATAATAAAATTAAATAGCCATACTTAATGTAACTTTATTCTATATTTTACTTAAAAAATATGCCTTTTCTTAAATCTTAACTTAAATCTCACACATAATTTTTAGTATTGTTTTAAATAAAGTAATTGCGTTAATGTTAAAGTGTTGTACTCACCTATAATTTAAGTACATATATATAATGTTATACAAAATGTAGCCGAAATGTTTTCATATGTACTTAGTTGGTAAGTCTAAATAAATAAATAAATAAATAAATAAATGATGAAATATTAAAAAATATTTTTCTCCTGCGTTTCTTTTAACATTGTGATAAGCGTATTTAATTTACAATTCAATTAGCTGAATTTTAAGATTTATTTCATTTCTATACATAGTCAGGTAAAAAATGGGTATCTTTATTTGTGGAAGCTCTCGATATCGGTTAAGCAGTCCCAGTTGCCCAGAGTTTTTTATTGCTATAGCTTTGCTTTGCTTAGCAGCAAAGATGACATAGTGCATAAAAAGTTTGTTACTGATGATTTTACACCAAAGAAAATATTGATAGTGAGAACAGACCAAGTAGCCCCAAACCTATTCTACGTTTCATTTCTCGCATTTAACGTGCTAAGGCTCATTGGTGACCTTGATTTGGTTGAAACCAATCTTGTCAGCCTCGAGCACAGGCGCAGAGTAGCCAGCCTCTCGGTATTCTATAGGATGCATTTCGGAGTGTGCGCAAAAATTACACGCTTTAATTACTCCCTCTCCTTTCTACCATCGGACGACTAGGCGTTCGGCGGGTCTTCACCCCTTTGTTTGTCGATATTTCACGCATTGGAACCAAACGGTTTGCTTCGTCTTTTGTAATGCGTACAGCAAAGTAGTGGAATAATTTGCCGGCATCTATCTTTCCGTCCGAATACAATCTGGCCGTCTTCAAGCCAAGAGTGAATAGTCTTTTGTTACGATAAGAGAGTGCGATTTACCATTTAAGGCTGCATCACCACTTACCACCAGGTAGGATTGTGGTCAAGCACTGGCTTATAACAAGTTAAAATAAAATTAATTTCACGTGTTAATATTTAGCACATCTTATAAAGATATTTTGTTGTTTTACAAAAGATCGCGTAACTGTTAACATGCGAAGTTAGTGTTGCCAACCTGCCAATACCAATTGCCCGGTATCATCGTCGGTGGAGACTCGAAGACTTGGGTCCTCTCTCTGCAGCTCAGCTAGAGCAGTTTCCAGCGCGTTTTGATACGCTGCACTCGGCGGCTCAATGGAGCACAGGAACACCGGCTCCGGGATCGTTGTTCCTGCAAAAAAAAATTACAAGCTATCCACCCCGGCTTCGCACGGGTTATTTCTGGATTTCGACAACAGCGCCACCTTTTTTTTATAGAATAAGGGTGACAAACGAGCACACAGTCCACCTGATGGTAAGTGGTTGCTGTGGCCCATAGACATCTACATCTATCCTCGATTACGAATCAATATGCAGATGTGTTGTCACCCGTGAGGACTAAGATGGAATGCCTCGTTTCCAGTAAAAAGGGTATCCGGTTCTCTACACTCACAATACGAAACAGCAGCATTAATCTGCTATTTTACGCTGGTATTCTGTGAGAGCGTGGCCCTTCCCCGGTCGAGCCGACCCATTCGTGTTACAACTATACCAGAAATATAGCTGCAGCATGGCTCTACCTACTTAAGTTATTCTATTCTATTTATCCCGTGGTTGTCGTAAGAGGCGATATGGAAACTGAAACAGGAGATAGGCAGCGGCACCTTCCTAATAAGAACGCATTAGGCAACAGCAGTTTTTACGTGGTACAGTACAGTACACTTACGTGGTAGAACCATACTGTAGCTATATTGTGGTTGCAGCACGAATGGGTCGGTTCGATAGGGGTAGGACCACGCTCTCACAGAATACCAGCGTAAAATAGCAGCTTAATGCAGCTGTGTTGCGTATGGTGAGTGGAGAGGACCGGAGACCCTTTTTATTGGAAACGAGGCGTTCCATCTTAGTCCTCACAGGTGACAACTGCATTTTGATTCTCTTTTGATAAATGTTAAAAGCGGGCAGTTGCAAATTTTTACAACAGGCCGCGTATACCGCGTTAAAAATGGTGCTAAATTCAGAGATTTTAACAGAAACAGCAGGGGTGTCACTTCCACTATGGAAGGTATGGAGCACTCCATACCTCAAGTTTTTCAAGGTATGGAATTCCATAGCTGAAATTAGGAAATAAATCGCATATTACTACAAACCCCATATAAATAAATCGCAAGCACTTAAACCTCAATACCCCACATCTTATAGTTCAATAAATAAGTTGAGTATATACACTGCAAACTCTTAAACCTTAATACCCCACGAGTAATGCGAACAAATTTGAAAATCGCGCCACCATTTTCCATACCTCAGATTTTTACAAAGTGACACGCCTGAGAAACAGTGCAAAATTATCCAGTACTTTATGATAATTCGCATCGTTATCAAAATATCATTAGGATTAAAAACAAAATATATGATAATATTGCTGAATATAATAAGACTTCGTCACGGTTTATCATGTTTACTGACGTCCGATCGTAGTACAGACACCACAGCGAATGGCCGCAGTGGTGTGTTGTTGTAGCGGCTGGAGCCGCGGCTCGCGGTTAGCCGCCACCGCAAGCCGCTTGTGTGTGGGAGACGCTTTACGCCGTCAATACACCGAAAAATAAAATGTTTATTTGACAAGTAACTTTGACGTTTTTACACTAAATTCTCATATAATCTTCATATAAATAAAATTTAACTGTCTGTCTATAATATCGAAGTAACTGCCTTTTCTAGAGCTCAGGGAGTTATTAACATGCCATTAAGATATGAATAACCATTTGTAAAAAAAATGTCTGTCTGTCTATCAGGGCTATTCTTCGGAATGGCTGAAACGATTGTGATGAAAATTTATGAACAGATAGAGAACAATACGGAGGGGAGGAAGATCTAGGAGTGTCTCAGCTATAGAGGGTTATTTTGTAATAACCGGGCAAATTTGCAGAGAAGTTTCAGAATAAGTAATATAGGTAAATGGTGAAAAAAATTAAAATAATTAAAAAAAATCTCAAACATTGTGTCCTTTTTATCTTTTAAATTCAAAATGCGTGGTAATGTACTATTTTAACTGATTTTACTGCGCACGCACACATTCGTAAGGGTCGATCGGTAGGCAAAACGTTGTGGCACAAAAATCACATCCAATTTGGGATAATTTCAAATAAAAGTAAAAGCCTTATTTACTCGTATTTTCAAAAACTGCAATAACGGTATATCATTATTTATATATTAGAACTTAAGTTTAAAATTTGGCTATTCTTTGAAAAATAATCCTATATATTTTATCCAAAAACTTGGAGAATTTTTGTGAAAAGGAATAATTTATAAAATAAATGGCCTATATCACAATTTAAAAACCTAAGTGACGTCACATTAATAAATACCACCCAGACGAAGTCGGGGCCGGTCGCTAGTTTTTATATAAATATTTGTTAACATAAGTTAAAAAGTCTTACGCCGGTTTATGGTTGCGGCAAAATAATTCCCACGGTGTTGCATGTTTTCATGAGCGGCCACAGATTTAGTATATACTTACATTAGATTGACAATGTAAAAGAGAAAGGGCATATCATATGCTTATGTTAGAACGAGATAGAATGGCTAGACCATACACGTACACGATATATCGGGCTAACGATAATCGGGTATTAATAAGTGTTTAAAAGGTGTGATTAAATATGATGACGTGTGTAGTAACTGATTGCAGTTCATCGAGAAAATAAAATACACAAAATTATACATTTCACACGTAAGTACAATTAAAATATTTACCACTCTAAATGCAATATTTTAGAACTGGTACAAATGTTTTATACACAAATGGATAGGGAAAAATATCGCATTTTATTACAATAATACTCCATATGCGTAAGAATTATATTAAAATAATAACAAATACGTAAATTCCCGCTATTTCTGATCTAATTTTTGTAGAGATTGACACTATCAATATCATCTTATCGATATTATGTTTATAACAGGCAAAGGCATATCTTTGGATGCAGCGTCTTATAACTTCGTAATTTTTTAAATTTTCTATTTTTAAAATTTAGGCTTTCGTAGCCAAAGGGCATTATAGTAAATACTTTAATGAGATAATTTAAGGTTAATCAAAAATGGTCAAAAATGATAAATAGAGAAGACTGGGCTCCCAAAAAATATTCAACCATATGTAGCTTGCTAAAAAATATTCAACCATATGTAGCTTGCTAAAACATTTTTCTTCAAGGTGCTTGCACCTTGAACAAAAATGTTTTAACATAGAAATGCACAAAGAGTATATATTTTACTTTACATATGTCCATTTCGTTTGGACATGTTCAAATGTGTACAACTTGTTGTCGTCATCCTTGTGATGTATATTTTTTCTAAAACGAAAGTAACAAAGGAACTTACAATATCACTTGATGGTAAACGGCTACTGCAGTATATCGTCACCTACAGTCAGCTTTAAACACAGAAAGCTACAAATGTGTTTTCACCCCTGAGGACTAAGATAAAATGCCTTACAGCTTATAATTATACAGGCTCTGTATACACAACAGGCCGGAGCGCGGCAGTGTAAGCACTGCTGTTTATTTCTGTTTATCCCTCTCAAGACGTTATACGATGAGATAGGTATTCATTCTGATCGAGGTTTCGTATAACATATGAAAGGAAAAATCAAAAAACGAAAACATGTTTCGAAAATTAGTAAATGAATGCCTTGTGTCCTGCAAAAAAAATGAACATACTTGACATACATATGTATTATTCGCCAGCAATATCAAACCATAAACACTTAAATATTAAATTAATAATCGAAACTTATGTCATTATTAGATTTAAGTATGAAGCAAAATTGCAAAATACCTCTAAGGAGAGCTTACGACATTTTTACAATAAATTAATTATTTTTGGTGGAAAATAAAAATCACAAAATTTTTGTTTGTAGTTTTATTTTTATGCCCTCAATCATAAAAATATTCATTTTATAACAGCGCTCTGTATCGATAATTGAAGTTGATGCATGGCGCAGCACTATGCGTCTCGCACACATGCACATTTAACTCACACTGGTACATTTCGTTTTTGGTCTCACCCTAATCACTCCATCGCCAATCTAATGAATACTATATCTATGTGAGCTACGGTAGTCATTTACCATCAGGTGAGTTGCATGCTCGCAGACCCCTTTCAATTAAAAAAAAAAAAACAGAATCTATATGAGAACGGAGGAGTAATCGGTAAGGCTTACCAATCCCAAGCAGCACCTCAGCGAGTTCTTCGCGAGTCGGCTCCGTGTCGAGGTTCTGCAGTCTCTGACGGGCGCTGGGCAGCATCAGCTCCTCCACTTGTCCAGGTTCCTGCAGCCACGACGAGAGCTGCGCTCTAGCCCGTTTGGCGGAAGTCTGAGTGGATGTTACAAGGTCTCCAGACATTGTGGCCTAGTGGGCATACATATATATTTGTTGAAATCACATCACGAACCTCCATACATGACTTGATGTTTGGTAGCAGTATAATAAATAATTTTTGCATCATCATCATTATCATTATTTTTCTAACCTATCATAAGATTTACGAGCATCCAGTAATGTAACTAGTTTTTAAATTAAATATTTTTGAAATAACTACAAACATCTGCATTTTTATTCTTGTAACCTTCCTTCCTAAAATATATTGTTTACTCGTAATTTGCAATAAAATTTCACAATTTGCAATCGTATTTCCGTTTGAAAATATAACTGTAAGTATTCCATTTTGACCGCACGAGCGCTACAAGATCTAGAGCCACCTGTGACAAGACTCCCAAGGAATGCCACAAAACAGTCCTGAGCCACCTGCATCCATCGACTTACTGCATCTCTTACCAGGTCGACACACCATCTAGTGGGGACTGCTCTACACTCTTACTGGTACGCACATCGTGTTAGAGATGGCCTCTCTCACTACAGCTGCCACTCGAGAACCTTCCATTGCATTCATTATCAGTTCTTCGAGCTATATGGTCAGTCCATTGCCATTTCAGCTTACTGATCCGTCGGGCTATTATAGTATAGGATGTTACTTCTTATTACGAAATAAAAACATATCTTCAAAATAGGCACAGCATGAAAAAATTATTTCAATATTTTAGAAACTTATCGAGTTTCTTAGTTAACGTTAATGATACCGTGATAGCTTAATAAAGTGCACTGCAGAACATAGGTTTACCCCATAGATTGCCTAATGGGTAGGATTTTTGCCATATTTGTCACACTTGGCAAGTGGGTTGTCAAACGCAGTTTTTTATTTTTAGTTGTTACCAGGAAGACGCTGCTGCCAATCACCTGATTTGTTTCCCTCCGTCGCCTCTTACGACACCCACGGCATGATTCCGGGTAGTGGATATACTTACACTGCCATTACACGATAATGTTTCCAAGTTGTTACCATGTAAAAGTTAATTTAATTTTATCATACTGAGTACTCACCACACCCACACTCAATAAATGGGTAGTTGACACTCAATCATTCACTGATTTATTACTTTACTTACCAAAAGCCCGCTACTGAACATAGGCCTCCCGCATACATTGCGTTAGAGTGGATATTGTCACAAACACACTCGGCAGACTAACTAGTATGCCGAGTGTGTTTGTGACAATATCCAATGCCAACTGGCAACCACAGTTTAGTTTTTTTTTTATAGGATAGGGTGACTAGCGAGCACACAGTCCATCTGATGGTAAGTAGTTGCTCTGGCCCATAGACACCTACATTTATCCTCGTTTGCGAATCAAATTCAGATACGTTGACACTCGTGAGGATTAAGATGGAATGCCTCTTTTCCAGTAAAAAGAATGGAAGTAAAAAGGATCTTATTATATAAGAATTACTACCAGAAGGATGCTGCTGCCCATTTCCTAATTCAGTTTCCCTCTAACGCCTCATATAACACACACAGGATGAATTCTGGTAGTGGATTATCTTATGCCACCAGCTATTTGTTGACTCATGTCAATTGAAATACCTTTCAAGCCTTTTATCAAAGTTCAGTTTACTATGATATCACATAAATTACTTAGATTGATTCACTGACCTTGAGAGAGCTGACTACTGCAATATTCCCAGCGGTCACTTTGTCTACAGGCCGGTACTCGTCAGCCAGCGCCACGTACAGGGATCCTGTCTGATAAACGTAAACTTAGAATCATATCTTATTTACGTTAATAACAATTGTTTCATCAAATTTCTATTAAACACAATCTTATAGAATACCAACATGAAATAGCAGCTTGATGCTGCGATTTCGTACGGGAACTGTAGAGAATTGGTTCGTCTATGCCACAGTACCCACTTACCATCAGGTGTACTGTGTTGGTTTGTCACCCATATTCTAATAAAAAATGATGAACAACCGCAACACAAGAGGAAATACAGATGCGTTGCCGGTCTTTTAGAAAGTAGTGAGCTCTTTTCTTGAAGGTCCCTAAATCGTATTGCTCCGGAAAAATCGCCGGTGGTAAACGATTCCACAAAAAGGTTGTACGAAACCAGTGGAGAAAAACATAAATGACTTTCAATAAGTATTACTTGTAATGTATATTGAATAAAAATTATTCTATTCTGTTAGTCTTGCGCCTGATCAGAATCTGTACCTGTAATGACACACACACTATACACTATAATCTTGTCCTGTTCAGATGGCTAGTCACCATAGAAAGCAGCATTCCTCTCACTGGGCTAAGACGCCTTTAGCTAATTGCGTCCTCCTACCTCTACCTATTTTCTTCCTACCTCTACCTATTTTCTTCCTACCTCTACCTATTTTCTTCCTACCTCTACCTATTTTTTTAGAATTGGGGTGACAAACGAGCACAAAGTCCACCTGATAAATGGATGCTGAGGTCCATATTTATCTTCGATTAAGAATTAAAAAACAGATGTTGTCACTCCTGAGGACTACAATGGAATGCCTCATTTTGAGTAAAAGGAATTCCCGGTACCCTACACTATTATATACACTATTATATGAAACACAGCATCATTAATCTACTGTTTTACGTTGGTATTCTCTTAGTGTGATCTTTCCCTGGTCAAGCCGGCCCATCATGCTACAATCATAATATAGCTCTATCATGTCTTGTGGCATCCTTTACCAATTGTGAGATGTGCAAGTTCAAACTAAATAATGTCCTAATAACTTCATATTGTTGTGCCATGTATGGAATACACTTCTATTGCTGAATTCTAAAGAAAGAATATTTTATACCGACCTGCTCACTTTTATCCCGCGCTAGATTATAAATCTTCTGTCCTCTCTCAATCTCCCCACTGTACAGCCTTAGGAAAGTCAACACTCCTCTTTGATCATCGTGCTGAACTTTAAAAGCCCTGGCTGCCAAGTCCGAACCGAAACTTTTGTAAATCCTGTTACATTCCAAAGGCGACGGTAAGTAGGAAACGATAGAGTCCATTAACGTCTGCACTCCAATATTTTTATAGGAGCTGCCACATAGAATAGGGAATGCATCCATTTCCAAAGTGCATCGACGTATTGCTGCGTTTATTTCTGAACTTTCTATGTTGTCCAATGACTCCTGCTGTATTATGATCTCAGCTAGTTGGTCGTCCATGGAAGATAGCGTGTCGATCAGTTGTCTGTGACTATCCATAGTTTTTTCCCAGTCATAGCCATCGGTTTTCTCCGTTAGCGGTCGACGGATAAAATTCTGTCCGCGTCCCTGCGTCCATATTATTTCTTGTCGTGTTACCAAGTCTATTAAACCTGGAAATTTCATGATTTTTTTAATTTGATTTTTTAGTTGTTTCAAAAGACTTTATTACCAATATATACTTTAAGCTTTACTTTAGGTGGTAAATCGTAAAGGCTAAATTTAATAAGGCCTATTCACTCTTGTCTTGAAGACACCCACATTGTAAATGGACAGAAAGACAGAAGTTGGCAAATTATTTCAATTCCTTGCTATATAATATTATATTTGGTAGAGCCATGCTGCAGCTATATTAGTAGTATATTTGTAGCACGAATAGGTCGTCTCGACCGGGGAAGCACCATGCTCTCTCAGAATACCAGCGTAAAATAGCAACTTAACACTGCTGTGTTTTGTATTCCATCTTAGTCCTTACGGGTGACAACGCATCTGCATTTTGATTCTTTATCGAGGATAGATGTAAATGTCTATGGGTAACAGCAACCACTTACCATCAGGTGGACTGTGTGCTCATTTGTTACCCTATCCTATAATTTTTTTTTATAAATAACATCAAATCCTCACCAAAGATTGTGAGCAAAAACAGTTTCTAGTTCTTTTATAGTTATTCTATAGTTCATTTATTTTCATGGTTTATTTTCCTAATCACTGCTGGGTCTCTCCCATGTAGAGGGAGAATTTGTCTTAATTATCATGCTTGCCAGGTGGATTGAAGAAACGATCGCAGTACTAAACGACCTGCACCTTGAACACTGCTGCCCGTAATTTATAATTGCCGTAAACCAAATGCTATACTACTATCTATCGAATGCCATAAGATTTTGCTGCCATTTCTCATTGTCGCCTGTTAAGACACTCACAGAAAGAAATTACGTAAACATACATGTGTTTACATCATCATCATTACAGCCCTTCACAAGTCCACTGCTGAACGTAGGCCAGATGCATGCTAAAGAATGCCACAAAGAACGACCTGAGGCACCTGCATCCATCAACTTCCTACATGTCTTACCAAGTCGTCACTCCAGCTAGTGGGGCGCCCCACACTTCGCCTATTGACTGCTACTCGTGACATATTTATAAATTATTTTTCATTATCCATTTATAATATTATATGGAATATAATAAAAAATACCATTTTGTATTTTTTTTTTATTAAAAAATGTTACCTCCACACTAGGATTTTCTCCTGTATCGTAGAGGCAGTTTACAAACATAAATTGCACAAGGACAAACATCCAAACCCGGAACATTTATTGTAGGCCATATAATTACTTGTTCCATGCGGGATTCGAACCCGCTCCCCCAGTGTTGTAACTCATTGCTAAGCCACTGCGCCAGGGAGCCGTTTTGTATTGCCTATGTGAGGTTTACATGTTTTTGTTCTTCTGCAACCCTGACCATCTAAAGGTTGTCTGCAAGAAATCGCTTTCTCGATGATACCGCACATATATTTTTGTTTCTTTTTTTGTTTATATTTTTGACATACAATTTAAAGTTAATCAATAAAAAAAAGTAAACTATCTAAATATAAAGAAAAAACACTGCTGATAAGAGGATGCAGTAGATGTTTACTTACATCTACTGCACCCTCTTATCGCACAATGAAATTGATAATTTTAGACAGTTTTATTATTATTAAAATGCTCAATTTTTTATTTTTTTTTTGATGTTACAAGCAGACAAAATCAATTTTATTTATTTGTATAGATGCCAATCTTTTGTAACCTCAGTTTTGAAATATGCAAACATTTTGACATAGGTTGCGCAAAAAAAAAAAGGATATTTGAATATATTTACTTTAACAATTCTTTACCAATAAGTTTGCCATCTTTGACAATGGGGTGATGAAGCACCAATGGAGTGGCTTGCAGTTTGTCTCGCACCGAAACAACGCAAGCGTTGACGTCGGCGTCCTCCCGATCCATTTTGTTTAGGTAAAGGATTCGCGGGACCCTATACCCGCTTGCCTGCCGCCATACTGTCAGAGTCTGGGCTTCTACTCCTGCAATGTTTAAAGTCAATTGATATAAAAGAGCAGCTGGGTTATTAAGTAGGAAGAAAACAAAAATCCAAGTTAACAGAATTTATGTGCCCTGGAAGTATTTAAAACTTACAAATATCAGACATGGCCAATCATCATCATCATCACTACAACCCACAAGTCCACTGCTTCCATCAACTTCCTGCATCTCTTACCAAGTAGTCAATAAAAAAAATTGTATAGCCATCACTAAATTATTATAAACTAACGAAAACATTGGTTCTGATACCAAATCTGATAAGATATAGGCAGTAGAAACAGGAGAAATGATATAACCCAATATATTATCAGAACCCATAATCAAGGTTTTCTGAGTGATAATGACTAAAGACATTATTAATTCACCATTTGTAACCCTTTTGTTAAAGTGCCAATAATAAATTGTACACAAATAAATAACAGATGGGGAAGCCTTGAACTGGTAAGGGAGGTGTAGAACAGCCCTGGATGGAGTGAAAACAACATGGTAAGACATGCAGGATGTCAATGGATGTAAGTGACTCAGGATCATGTTTTGTGCCAATTTTCGGGAAAATCCTATATTCAGCAACAAATATATATATATATATATACTATCTGGCTAGGCAGATGTTATTCTGCCCTTATCGACGACCCTTCATATAAAAAATCCTTAAATTCTTAATAAAAAATATTGAGTGTCACTTATCGGGATAAAAGGATCTCTCAAGTTGGACCAAACTGCACAGAGTGTGCAAAATTTCATTGAAATCAGTTCAGTAGTTGAGGAGTTCATGGCGGACAAACAATGTGACACATAATTTTTATATATAAAGATATATAATTAATATATTAACCGACCCACTCATGCTACTACTAATATGGCTCTACCATATATTAATTGTAGCATGAGTGGGTTGGTTCGACCAGGTTAGGACCACATTCACACAGAATAACAGCGTAAAATAACAGCTTAAAGCTGCTGTGTATCGTATGGTGAGTGTAGAGAACTGGTGACCCTTTTTACTGGAAACGAGGCATTCCATCTTAGTCCTGAGCAACAATGCATCTGTATTTTAATACTTAATCGAGGAATAATGTAGATATCTATAGGCCACAGTATCCACATACCATCAAGTGGACCGTGCGCTCATTTGTCACCCTTATTCTATAAAAAAAAACCCAATCCAGATTATGTGCGACAGCATAAGTAGAAATACTTAGCATTAGTCACCAATTTGCCTGCTTACTGATAATAAAGAAACAGCCTTCTTACGAAGGAGGCAGCCACATATGCTGATTGATGGATTAAATGAAACGTAAGAGAATGTTTTTACCTGCTGAAGCGTCCAGTACTATCACAGCCCCATCTAGCACAGCTAGGCTCTGTTCAACTTCCATTGTAAAGTCAATATGGCCTGGTGTATCAATCAGATTGATTTGCATTCCATGCCAAGGAAATGATACTGCTGCAGCTGTTAAAAAAATGTAGGGCATTGAGTTAAGCTAATTTACAAGTTTTTCCTCTTTAATTTTCGACAACTTGAATTCTTCGACTCGCGAAATTTCGAGTAGTGATGATGCTGAGGCTTCTGCCATCCTAATGTGTTACTAAATCTGTACCAACTTTATATTATTATTGTTACTATATGGAATGAACTCACTTTTCTACTGACTTCAAAAAGGAGACAGTACTCAATTTGACTGTATGTTTTTTTTTAATGTGTTACCTCATACCTTTTTACTGGGTGGACCAATTTCGATGATTCTTTTTTTTATTTGAAAGCTGGTGCTTCACATGTGGTCCCATATAAATTTCATCAAGGTCTGACCAAAAGTTTTTGAGTTATTCTTCATAATTTATATTGAAGTCGGTTGCACAAAATTTTTAATTTTAAATTATATGCATTATGAATGTTTTTGTTTGTCATAAATAAGAGTTAATATTCCTGGTAGGAGAAGACATAATAATTACACCTTGTAGAAACTAATATTTTTGGCAGGCTGTAAAATGCCCCATTAACTCCTTGGTACACTTCAAAATGTAGGTAATCTCTATGACTGCTCTATCATATAATTTTGTTATGAATTTTATAATAGAGTTGTACAGTCCAAAAATTTTTATGCTGATACGGCTTGAACCGCCACACCGTGAATTATTTATAATGCACCTTTTTCATATTAAACTCAGTGTGTGTAATAAACTGCTATAGTAGCAACTACCATACTGTCGTCTTAAACTATCTTTAAACTACATAACTATTAACTAACTTAACTATCAAAGAAGTTGTACAAGTAGCAAACTGTGGCCCGTACAAGGGTTTTGAAGCCCTCTCAAAAATGAGAGGGCCTGTGCCCAGCAGTGGAATGTATATAGACGGTAACTTTAACCTTTTATAATAGAAAAAGATGTATTAATTACCCTTTATTTATATTTTTAGTTTGTGATTGTAAATATCTTATATATGAGGGTTGGTCTCATATAAATTTGGATAAAAAATTTACCTTAACCATAGGGGAAGAAGTTTTAAAGTAAAGTTAAGTAAACAGGCAAATTTTTTTTTTATAAAAAGTAAAAGCAAACTTCAGTTAACTAAAATAATACAATAATTTTACATTCTGAAGTGAAGCTTTGATTCCTCTATATACTTTATCTTAGCACCGCTTTCAGAATGTGAAAATATTATGTTCATATTATTTTATTGTTTAAAAATTTAATTTTCACAACTTTACATTAGAATCAGTGCTGAGTATAGGATTGAGTGATAATGTCCAAGGTTACGTAGGCTTAATACTCTCTTAACAAAATGGATGGGTATTTGACTCAGCTTTAGAAACAGCAACCCAGAAATTTGGTGCATATTTTTATGATATAAGAAGTAAAGATATTATATTGCATTCACCAAAATATGCTCGATCAATTTTTCTCATTATATCGTATCATATTAATAATACATTTGAATAATTATTTCTCCCCTTTTACTAGTAAATACAACTGCTACTTTAAACTACTACTTTTACAGAATCTCATAAATTATGATTTTTTTTGCTTTGATTTCTCCTTGGCTTGGAGGGATATTTCCACCTCCCTCCAATGTCTCCTACTATAGTATGTAAGTTTTACTTTGATTAAAGAGATTTTTGTAAGTCTGTTAGTTTTTTCCTCGAAAACTACGCTTTTGTGCACTATGATGAGTGGTCCTTCTTTTTATTCCCCCACAACGCCCTCCCTATGCACAGAGTTGCCATTTCTGAAACGCTTTTGGAGATTTTTAAAATCCACAATTATTTAATCTATCAGATGCCAGTTAGTTGGTTAAATTTACAGAACACAAGTGGCGATATGAACATCAGTAATTTAATCATTTTTTCTCACATGTAATTGTGATTCCGCGCTGCCTCTCCTGTTCCATGTAGTCGGTGACTGTGTTACCATGGTGCACTTCCCCCATAGACCTGATAGTTCCAGAGTAGAATAGCATACGTTCTGTTGTTGTAGTTTTCCCTGAAGTTTACAAAAGTTGAAATGTATTACACAATTGAATATTATTCTTTGGTATAAAAATAGAATGATATGTTATAGACAATGGTTTTTACTTATGAATTAATTATTATTCTATACTAAATAAATCATTGGAATCATATTTCAAGTAAATTAAGTACACAAATAAATAAATAAATAATATTACAGTTAAACTAACCTGCATCTATGTGAGCCAAAATCCCAATATTTCTTATCTTTTCAATTTTTGTTTCATATTGGCTGTCAAAATTAGAACAATATTTTCGTACTTGCACATTTTTGTAAAGTTTTCTGTAATAATTTAAAATGCAGTAGCTTCGCATTCTTAGCGAAATAGCGAATTTAATTTAAAAAGGTCCCCCGGTCCTCCGCCAAAAATCAAAACAAAGAATATAATCACTATTCACTACATAATAGACAACACTGTTGTTGTTCCATTCATCCTGTTGAAGAGGATAGACAAATGCCTTATAGTCATAGAGACAACTCATTTATTATAAAAATTCAGATTTGGCAGCATCATCACTTACTATTACGTAGGATGGTAGGCAAGCTCTGGCTTACAATAGTAAAAAATGGATCAATGTAGTGAAACCCTCTTCTTCTTCATGAGTACAGCGCGAAATCTATCACCAATCAAAGCATTCAAAAGTTATGTGATCCAGCGGTTTGTTTTTTAATGGTATCATATTTCAGATTTAAATCAACTAGAAGAAACTCGTAACCTAATAATTATTTGTAAAATTTCCTTTCCATGTAAGTGGTACTTTTACTAATAGAATAGAATAGAATATTTTTATTCAATATACATTACATGTGTAATTCTTATTGAAAGTCATTTTTTACTTTAACCCTGGTTCGAAAAAAACCCTCTGTCCTGGGAAGAACCAGCAAGAAACCCAGCGGGACTTTTTTTTAAAATAAATTTTACAATATAAATGATTACGAACTATTTACAAAATTTATTTTAGAAACTGCTTGGTAGCGACCACCTCATTCCCAGGGGTTATTATCAACTATGTATTCATTTATACTATAATAACCCTTTTTATACAGTTTCAGCTTAATAAAACATTTAAACTTGGTAATAGAGAGAACCTTTACACTTTCCGGGACCTTGTTGTAATAGCGTATACATTGCCCCAAGAATGAATTACTGACTCTGTGAAGTCGAGAAACTGGTATCACTAGCTTGTGTTTGTTCCTATTGTTTACAGAATGTATATCACTTCTTTTACTAAAACTATCTTTGTTTTTGTGAACATACATTAAATTTTCGTAAATATACTGAGAGGCCAAAGTTAATATATTAATTTCTTTAAATTTATCTCTAAGAGACTCTCTCGGTTTTAGATTGTAAATAGCTCTAATGGCCCTCTTCTGTAAAACAAAAATAGTTTCTGAATCAGCCGCATTTCCCCATAGCAAAATCCCATAAGACATTATGCTATGAAAATAACTAAAATAAACTAATCTAGCTGTCTCAACATTAGTGAGACCTCTAATCTTTTTTACAGCATAGGCTGTGCAGAACTTAGTCTGCTTGCTAATTTGGATATATGGGGGCCCCACTGGAGCTTTGCGCCAAGAGCGATGCCAAGAAAAACAGTGGATACAACAGGGCTCAATTCCTCCCCATTTAAAAACACATTGGTATTCAGATTTTTAACATTCGTTGTTGTAAATTTAACACAATTAGTTTTATTTCCGTTTAATCAAAAGTTCTACTTTATTATTTGCAAGGTGTCATGATACTCTTGTTTCCAATTATACTAATGTCGCCGATGTAATGGATTCCTGAGAGTTCATAACGAAATATTTACAAAAAATATTTTGTCATAAATATGTATTAGGTACTACTGATAAATTTTGTATTAGGTGGATTAGAAAACGCAGTTTTTTTTATAATTTTGATGAGGAAGATGCTGTTGCTCATTTTCTGTCTCAATTTCCATCTTTCGCCTCTTATGATGGATGTCAAAAATATGTCAGCACGTTATGAGGTAGTGGATATACTTACACCATAACTACACATTATATAAATAAATGACAATTACATACACATATGAATTACAAATACAAAGTAAATGTCTGTAGGGTGAATGAGGGAGCATAGTCTAGTATACTAAGTAAGTGAGTTTTGAATTCAATTAAGTAATCTTGAGTCGAATCATCACTTTGACTGATGATCCATAGGTTCTTTGGAGTGCCATGTGAGTTCTTGAATGGTTAATTTCCGATGGTCTGCCACTTCATGTGTTGAAGCGTCAGTAGCCTAATGGCAGGGCGCAGACCGCGAACTCGAAAGGTCGTGGGTTCGAATCCGCCATTCGACTACTGTCGTGAACCACTTCTAACACAAGCATTTTAAGCTTAGCAGAAGTGGTCAAAGGGAATATTAGTAGTGTTTAATAGGATTACTAGTATTTTTAATTAAAAAAAATGATGTCGATAATGAAGAGCAGGATTGACAAACATACCGGTTTGTAAATACTAAAATTAGGACATAATATGTGAGAAAGCATTGAAGTGGTAGTTCACATGACAATCTATCTTAAACTACCGATGGTTTTTAGATTTTAACTTTTTTTCAATCAGTTTCTAAGTGTATATTACTCAGTTAAACTCTGCTCTTGTATTTTCTCTTAGACAATAGTTTTAAGTTGATTTTGATATACAAAAGTGGTGTGATTTTGCGTATTAAATGTCTTCGCATATGAATTATTATTGGAAATGATGAAACAAGTGCTCCGATGGTGATATAAATCTCATCATCTTATGTCCGCTCAGAATAATAGTTCGGAGCGGACATAAGAAGATTAGTTGACGTCATTATCGGCAATCTGCTGAGCTATCGTTTAAATTTGTCTAAAACTTCTCAGTGTGACGTGTCAAACTATCATGAAGAATTTTGCGATTAAAATTAACTTTAAACAAGGCTGTATTGATATTGATTCCTTTGGCTTTAAGACATATAACAAAATTATCTATCTAAAATTATACTTTAGTGATGGACTCGAGTGACATAGTTTCACTCGAGTCACTCTGGGAGTGCTCTGAGGAATTGTTCGGACTAATTCCTACCGCTTAATTTCACCATCGCACATCGCGACAAAACTCGCGATACCATCCACACCATCTGGATGACTGGCGGTCCACCACATTACGACTTAGAAGATCTTTTCTTCCTCGCGCAAATTCCTTGTGGAATGGATTACCACTAGCGCTTTTTCGAGACCAATACGACTTAGGGACCTTCAAGAAAAGAGCCTACTCGTTTTTAAAAGACCCAAAGCAAAGCATCTGCAATTCCCCTGGTGTTGCGGTTGTTCATGGGCGGTGGTAGTCACTTACCACCAGGTGAGTCGCATGCTCGTTTGCCCCCTCTTCTATTAAAAAAAAACTCGCCAGTGATAACCTAGTCACTCGAGTGCCACTTGAATGAAGATTAAACTCAAGTGAATTTTTTCTCACTCGAGTTACACGCCTGTCTAAAACTAATAAAACCTTACAAAGGTTGTAAGTATTGACAAATCAACTGGTTAGACCTGAAGATTTTTTGTTTCTTCTTAATAAGCGATGCAATAGACCTTTAAAGCTATAGTTGCTGAAAACGCCGGTTTTTTGATATAGAATTGGAATCAGCAGACGCGGAAACAAAACTCTCTGCTTCATAAGTTGAAGAACACGCGTGAGATGAACTTACTCACCCTTAATGTACTTATTTATTTTTGCATATTATTCTTGTACTGAATCGGATGTTTATTATTCAAATTGTGAGAAATCAAGTTAGTATTCACAAAGTTTTTTAAAACTTTTCTTGCACAACTTACAAATAATTGTTTTTTGTTCAAAATTTTTGTCGTAAACGACTACACTATAGCTTTTTTGGATCTATTACTCATTTAGAGCACGTACTAATAGCAAACAGTCTTAAATTAACATATTACTTAATACAAACAACTCACTCAAACAAATTTATACTTAATTTCAAATGGAAGAAACATCGGCTAAAACTGTTTTAATTTGAATTTCTCACTCGAGTCGGTACAGGCCACTCAAGTGGTCCGAGTCATTCGAGTTGACTCGAGCCACTCGTAATCCAAGTTGTCATAAATATTACTCGAGTGCGAGTAAAATAAAAACTACTCGAGTGACTCGAGTGAAACATGGCTCCAGTCCCATCACTATTATACATCAACATTCAACATTAATGGCTCCTACGATTTGTTTTTGTTGAATACGTGACAAAATTTACAAGAATTATTAAGTGTAATAAATTAAGAGTGCAGAAGACATTTTGAAAATGGGTGTACCAGCGTTTTTCCGCTGGCTTAGTCGTAAATATTCAAGCGTTATAGTGGAATGTATTGAACAGAGGGTAAGCGATCATAACCTACAAATATGTTATCTTAAAGTGTTAAAAAAATAACAGTTTTTGGAATTATATTTCAGCCAACCGACGTAGATGGTCAGTTAGTACATATAGATTCATCACTGCCAAATCCTAATGGAATAGAATTTGATAATTTGTATCTGGACATGAATGGCATCATACATCCATGTACTCACCCTGAGGATAAGCCAGCACCTAAGGATGAAGATGAGATGATGGTGGCTATCTTCGAGTGCATAGACCGTCTATTTCGTATTGTGAGGCCCAGAAAACTATTATACATGGCTATTGATGGAGTGGTAAGTGACCTACTTGTTAAATAATGAACTATTCATTTCATTAATCACATCACATAACTCCTCATATTTACATTTCCTCATAATACACTTACTGTTGATTTCTTGCACACTACATTAAATCAAAATTGTATCACTTTTTTAAATCATTATTCAGGAGCAAAAATATTATTTACATTAATTAACAATAGTACATTAGTGTGGTAAAAAAAAGTACATCTGATTGTTCAATGGAATCTATAATACGTTAGAATCATTCTGATTTATATTTTATTTTAATTTAAGAAATATAATTTAAGCAATCTGGGTTTGATACATGTTGGCACCAAAGAAATTGTTAATTGCAATTTTTAGTGCTGATTTACCACATGCTCGCCAGTGAAGGAAAACATTGTGAGGAAACCTGCATGTCTGAGATATAAGAAAAAAAAATTAATGACATGTGAAGTTCGCCAACACGCATTGGGTACACATGGTAGACATAATATCCTCTCAGAAATGACGGGAGGCCTGAGGCTAGTAGTGGGATGTATATAAGCTGTAACTTTTAATATAATTTAAAAATATATTTATTGTTTATTTACTACTGGTAATGACTCTATACTCTTCAGACTAACACAGTAATGTGAGTGCTGCAATTTGATTTAAAAAATAGATAAAATTTTGGGTCCCACTTTTTTTTTTTAAATAAGGGTGACAATAATTCGTCGTTGACACCACAAAGTGGTAAATCTCAATTTTTTAAAAAATACAGTAGAGCAAGAAAACATTTATTTTTCCCTGATTACTAAATTTAATTCAATTGCGGAGTTAGCTATGAATTGAGCACACTGTCCATCTGGTGGTAAGTTGATGCTGTGGTCAATAGACATCTACATCTTCCCTCACCCCTGGGCACTAATTTGAAATTCCTCATTTCCAGTAAAAAGGGGCTCTGGTTCTCTACATTTACCATACAAAACACAGCTGCATAAAGCTGCTATTTTACATTGGTATTCTGTGAAAGCATGGTCTTGATTGAGCCAAATCATTAACACAATTTTGTAATTATTCAACTCTTCACTCAAAACAAAAATAAAATTTAATAATAGTAACATTTATTGCCATCGATTCCAGCATACTCTTTGTGCATTTGCGTATACCACTTTGTTTTGCATCAATATATGTAAGTAAGCCAGGCTTTGCTCACCAAACCTATATAATCTATTCACTTTAATTTTTCATTTGTACATATTTTTTTTCATGGGTTAGAAGTTAGTAGTATTATATAATCAGATCAGAAGTACTGTGTGCACATGCAAACAGTTCTTCTGTTCTTTTCTTCTTCTCTTTTCTAGGATTATGATAGTAAAGTGTGACGATATCAAAAGAGAACCCATCACTCCCGTTCCATGGGTGTCATTAGAGGATTTTAGGAAATGTCAGATTTTTTTTATGTCACCTGTTATATTATAGCGGTATTATCATCAAGCCAGACATAAAATACCCAGACTAAAATAAATGTTTGCATTACATTGAAAAGGAGTCTTACAATCTATCCTATGTTATTAATCGGCCCTACAAAGTCCATTGCCAGGCATGGGTCTTTCCCGTTTTAGAGTATTTTTTAATTATAATTTAATTATATATAATATATTTAGTTCTAAACATAAACACAAATTAACATAACAAAATAAATTAATGGAATGGAACTAAAATGGTGTCTACTCAACACAAATGTTATAGAAACCACATAGCAGTAACTATAACCCTGATTTTCAGTAAACGCTACAGACATAGGTGCAATAAAATAAATTTCGCAAATCACAGGCTCGAACTTAAAATAAAAATACACTCTTATAAAATGTATAAATAATTAAAAAAAACTGTTATCATTTAGGAAATAAAGGCGCAACAATAAACCAATGCAACAAAAAGCTTAACAAAAGGCATGTGCAAGGCACAAGGCACACAATTAAATTATTTAATAAAATACATAAGCAAGCTTTTAGAAAAATTTACTTCGCAAATATCCGCGTTATAAAATAAAATGATGTGTCTTACCTAGTATGAAGAGCACCTCCCGCCCTCCCTCAATTGTGTGCACTATCCCCGTCACCACTAATCCCAGCACCGCCACTCCCAACACCACTACACTAGGCAAAACACACCACTGACGATAATACGACACGTGTTTCGCCTCTACACGAGGCTACCTCAGGTGATATAGACTCTACGGTGGGCGTTGCGCGGCGGTTTGTTTTTAATTTTACAAACGGCTGTGTAAGTCCGGTGGTGATGGCAATACTTAAAACAACCCAAAATATCTGTAGAGGATAAACAGTAAAGGACCTAGAATTGACCCTTGTGGAACGCCACGAGTAACAGGAGGCGCAACAGAAAGAATGTTGGTACCAGTTTCATTTCGAAGTCTGTCTCGCTGTGTACAACCATTTAAATAACTTTCAAACCACTTTAATGCCTTACAGTCAAAACCATAATACATCAACTTCGACAGAAGTAAAGTAGTATTTATTGTGTCAAATGCACGCGAAAAGTCCAGCAGTGTCAAAATTGTAAAGTAAAGTAAAGGTGCAGCCTATTTACGTCCAACTGCTGGGCACAGGACTCCTCTCATTTCAGAGAGGGTTTTAGGGCAAGGAAATGTCCGCTGCGCTGCCCATCATGCTGTCAAAATTTTAGCCTCTCCTTTATCCTGCGCTGTTAGAATATCATCGACAACACTCAATAGCGCTGTAACCGTGATTAGTCCAGCCCTAAAACCCGATTGTTTTAGAGGTAAAATGTTGTTCTGTGTTAGATATTCCATTATTTGCTTATAAACAGCCTTTTCAGCAATTTTAACTAGGTAAAAAAGACAGTATACTATACTATGTATACTATAGGTCGAAGATGATTTAGTTCTATAGGATGATAATTTTTTGGTGTTGGACTTATTACAGCTTCTTTCCAGATATCTGTATTTGCCTTAATCGGTAGTGGTAAATAGGTAAATAAAAAAAAGACTTTCAATAAGTATTATATAATAATCTATATTGAATAAAAATTCCATTCCTTTTTTAATCATCGCATTTGCCAGGCTGATTGACTATCGTAGAACCAAACTAGACGTTTCGTATCTTTGACGCTGTTGTTCTTCGATAGTTTGGTTACTTTACACGTGTCGTAAATGAAATGGTTTTACCGCCATCTGTTGGAAGCCATGAGATCTTTTTGACATTTCTTGTAGTCACTTACAACACCCTGGGTGATGCTGTGATGGGTTCTAGGCACCCGCTATCCATCCCATACAGTAGTCTAATTCAAATTGTATTGACACAAGGACAATGATGAATGCAGCAACAATGAATGTTTGAATATTTCTGTATTTTTAGGCGCCTAGAGCCAAGATGAATCAGCAGAGATCTAGACGTTTCAGAGCTTCTAAAGAGACTCAGGAGAAAATAGAAGAAATTGCCCGTATTCGCTCGGAACTTCAGGCTAAAGGAGCGTATTTGCCACCTGAGAAACCAAAAGAGGCTCATTTTGATTCCAACTGCATCACTCCTGGCACACCATTCATGGATCGACTAAGCAAATGCTTACATTATTATATACATGACAGGTTTGTAGAATGTGTTGTGAATGTGTATATAATTGTAAATATATTTGATATTTCTTAAAAAACGTTATGCTCGCTGGGATTCTTTCCTGTATTGTGGAGGTGTTGATTGATTGAAAATGAATTGCACAATCTATGTCTCTTTAATTGATAGTGGGGAACAGTTATTTATAGGGTATATAAAAATAAAACTTGTTACGGGATTCGAACATGCGGCTGAGAGTCCCCAGATAAATGCTGACTAAATGTGCTACTAATCTGTCACTTTAAAATTACAATATTTACACGTTTTATTTAATAAATTAATTTTGTATAATTGATCGATCAAAAAACCCACAAAGGGAAGGATTGGATATATTCTATGTCTCAGTACTAGACTGCATTTTAATAGGTACTCAGAACTGTTCTAATATTCATAATTTTGTTTAACAAATGTAGTTCTTGCGTCAGCCAGTTCAATAACAGAAATGTCTGAGCATAGGTTCGTTCTTTGAAAGTGTCACTGAATGGGTAATATATTACCTGGTTAGGTATGTACATGTGTTTTCTGCCGACTTCCAAAAAGGCGACGGTACTCAATTCGACTGATGTTTTTTTTTAATGTGTGTTACCTCATAACTTTGTACTGGGTGAACCAATTTCGATGATTCTTTTTTTATATGAAAGCTGATAGTTCTCGTGTGGTCCCATATGAATTTAATCAAGGTCAGGCCAATAGTTTTTGAGTTGTTCTTAAATAACTTATATTGAAATCGGCTGTACAAAATTAGAAATTTTAAATTATTGACTGTTATTAATACAAAAAGTTGCCCTGCAATATTATAGGATTATCTGAGGTCTGAAGGACATAATTGCATTTAATTGAATGACCAAATAAAAGAACATAGATATAAAATAATTATAAATATGTGACATTATTGTATATAATGTTCACATGGTAATACTCGAATCAGGCAACTTGTTCTATCACAGGGAGGGCGACCATCTGTCCCAAGGAGTTATCGGATTTATCGTCCACAAGCCTCTCGTTAACAACGTTGTAAAGATTGACAGTGTGTTGATGAGAGTTGCGTACCTTATGCTCAGAATCACCAAACGGTATTCGCTGAAGGTCATACAGGCTTACGCACCAACCTCGGCACATTCTGATAAGGAGGTGGAGGATATATCTAGAGCCGTGCTTTCCTCCAAAACCCATTATACGGTGGTAATGGGAGACTTAGTCGTTTCCGGGACACCTGAGATTTTGAGTGAGATTGAGAGGTTATATGGGCAGCTGTACACATCATCGTTCATCATCATTTTGCAGTAATACAGATCGATTTCCCTTCTGAGCCGCGTCTACGTGTTGTTTTTGAGAGTCATTACAAACCATCTTGCATGCAGACTCGACGACTTCCCGCCTTCCGAACAAGCCGGTTTCGGATAGACCACATACATATACCCTTCGACAAATTGTAAAGAAGTCCGAGGAGTACAATTTGCCACTATGTCTGGTGTATGTGGACTATGAGAAAGCCTTTGGATTCCGTCGAAATTTGGGTGGTGCTGAAGACCCTTCAGCGGTGCTAAGTTGTCTCTCGGTATACCGGGGTGCTGAAGTGTTTGTACAGTAGGGCTACGATGTCTATCCGAGTACAGAACCCCAGTACGAAACCTATCCAACCTCAGAGATGTGTAAGACAGGGTAACGTTATATCCCCGAAAGTCTTTACTGCTCCATTGGAAGACGTTATCAAGCTTCTGGACTGGAAAGAATACTGTATTAACGTCAACGGCGAGTACATCACTCACCTTCAATTTGCCGACGATATAATCCTTATGGCAGAATCGCTGAAGGAGCTAAGCACTATGCTCAATGACCTCAGTAGTGCCTCCCAACGGATAGGTTTTAAGATGAACATGGACAAAACAAAGATCATGTATAACGTCCATGTCACACCTATGCCGGTAGTTGTTGGGAGCACTAAGCTCGAAGTTGTTGATGAGTATGTCTTTACCTGGGACAAATAGTCCGACAGGGTAAGTCCAACTTCGACCGAGAGGTCAATCGACGGATTCAACTCGACTGGGCAGCAACTTCGGGAAATTATGACACATCTTCTCGTCAGGTATACCTCAAAACCTAAAAACGAGATTGTACAACCAGTGCGTGTTGCCAGTAATGACCAATGGATCTGAGACGTGGTCCTTCACTGCTGGCCGTATGAGGACGCTCGAGGTCACTCAGCGAGCTATGGAGAGGGATATGGTGAATATGAGAGATACGGGTTTCTCTGCGTGATAAACTTAGAAATGAGGCTATCCGCAAAGAACCAGAGTAACCAACATAGCCCAACGGATTAGTAAGCTGAAGTGGCAATGTGCCGGCTATATAGCACCGGCACCCGATGGGGAAAAAAGGTTCTCGAATGGCGGCTTCGGTATTGGTAGGCGAAGTGTAGGGCGACCCCACACTAGATGGAGTGACGACCTTTTAAGACATGCAGGAAGGCGATAGATGCAGGTGGTACCGGACCGTGCTTTGTGGCATTCCTGTGGGTGAGGCCTATGTTCAGCAGTGGACTTGTGAAGGGTTGTAATGATGATCAATACAAAGGTCATATGACTTCAAAATATCTAAAGTTTACGTTTATGTTGGTAACTGAAGCTAGAAGATGAGCTGCGGCGACATAAAAGAATTGACTCGACAGGGGAAGGACCACGCTCTCACAGAATAGCAGTGTAAAATAGCAGCTTAACACTGCTGTATTTCGTATGGTGAGTGTAGAGAACCGGAGACCCTGTTTACTGGAAGAGGCATTCCATCTTAGTCCTCACGCGTGACAACGCATCTGCATTTTGATTGTTTATTGAGGATAAATGTTTAACCTGCTTGCTGCCTATTTTTTCTAGCATACAAGTTGATTTGATTGAATTTCCAACATAACGGATACTCATAGCAACATACAAAACTATAAACTTGTCTTAACTATTATGTTGCTATAATAATAGCCGACAACTGCATACACAAAAGAAAATTATGGCCTTGTAATTTTGTGTGATCAAAGCAGTTCCACTTCTAGATTAAGCAATAAGAATATTTTTTGAATATAATATTTTTCAACAGATTGAACAATGATCCTGGCTGGAAAGGTATTAAGGTTATTCTCTCAGATGCCAATGTTCCTGGGGAGGGTGAGCACAAGATTATGGACTACATCCGGAGGCAGAGAGGTGAGTTTGTTAGTGGTATAATCTGCGCATGTTCGGAATGAAATGCGACTTTTTGGAAATAACACGCAGGATGCCCAAACTCGCGTCATAGCTTGTGACACAATATATATGTTCACATCAAATAGTGGATTTGTAGTGAAATATAAATATTATCTTCGTTATTTTTGTGATTTATGTGTTGAATCATATAATGATATAAATATTGAATCATAAGATATTCAAAAATAGAATGCATTTAATGGAATGACCAAATAAAAGAAGTTAGTTATAAAATAATTACAAATATATAACATTGTTGTATATTTTCTTAATCCTTAGGAGTTAATGTGAGTGATTGTAGTGTAAATATAAATGTATAAGTAATAATTTTTTTTGCTAACCTTACCTCAGTCTACAACTATCATTCTTAGTTAATCTTCGACACTGTTCCATCCCATTCTGATCGCGCGCGAATAATATTTGTTACCCGACTGCCCCAGAAGGAGGCCAATGTTTTTCGAGTGTGTGTGCCTAAATGGCTTGACGAATTTTCGTATATGCATTGTCGTTAGATTCGCCTTAGTTGTGGAAGTGACATAGGGTATACAATTTTTAAGTAAACTTTTTTACGCTGACGGGTTTTTTTACATTACTGTTTTCACCTCAATCACATATCAATCACATTAGGATTTTAGGGGTCTACCATAATAATAACAACCAATTTCGACGAATGTAATGTTTCATTTTTATTTGTTTTGTTTGCAGCCCAACCAGATCATGACCCGAACACCCAACACGTGTTGTGCGGCGCCGACGCCGATCTCATCATGCTGGGTCTTGCTACTCACGAGCCCAATTTCACCATCATTCGAGAGGAGTTTAAGCCAAACAAGCCACGTCCGTGTGATGTTTGTGGACAACTGGGTGAGTTCTATTGCATATTATCAGTTTCTTTACTGTTTTTTTTTTGTAATATTATTATCAGAGACCTTCTGATTTGACCCGCAGTAACAATGTATAAAAATTTAAAATTACCTTACCTACCTTATTGTCACAGTCTGTACTAGAGGAAATAGTCTCATTAGATTTTACGTAGTAGTAGAGTCGTGTTGTGGATTGTGCCACCGCATTTATTTTTTATTTTTAGTTGTTATTAGGAAGACGCTGCTGTCTGTCTCCTGATTTTCTTCCTTCTGTCGCCTCTTACGACACCCACGGGATGATATGGAGTAGTGAATATTACACCGTCACACAGTGTATTTCAAGCAGGAAGTAACTTAATATTTAGAAAATAGTGGCTCAATACCTGCAGACTTCCACCAATGTACAACCAGACGTTTGGTCAGTCTCCATCCTTTCGTTGTTGACTTACCACGCTTTCGAACCAAACGGATTGCTACATTATTCTTGATGCGTACAGCAAAGGAGTGGAATAAGTTGCCCAGCATTTGTGTTTCCATCCAATTACAATGTAGGTGTCTTCAAGGCAAGAGTAAATAGGCTTTTATTAAGTCAGTGCGCTTCACCCCATCTTAGGCTACATCACCACTGACCATCAGATGGGATTGTAGATAAGCGCTGGCTTAGTATAATATAAAAAAAAAAACTGATTTAAAAAAATTACATTAAGGCCGTGGGTAGCTCATGGACTGGAAACTTGTCGAAAATTTCAAAGAACGCGAGCAATCCGAACCAATGATCCAATGAAATTACTACTAGTAGTTACTTGCAAAAGCGCCACGAAGCCTTCAAATTATGTTAATTTAATATTTCTCGTGACTGAAGAGTTAAACGCCAAAAGTTCTGAGTAGATGGTACACCATTAACATTTAACTTGTAGGTCACGAGATGAAGGAATGTACTGGCTCAACGCCAGACGCGTCACTGGTGCGATCGGACCCAGCTTTCGGCACACAGGATAATTTCATCTTCGTGAGATTGAACGTGCTTCGGGAGTATCTGCAGAAGGTAACCTGCTTATGCAACACTTGCCCGTTCAAGTTCGTTTTTAGGGTTCCGTACTTCAAAAGGAAAAAACGGAACCCTTATAGGATTACTTTGTTGTCCGTCTGTCTGTCTGTCAAGACCCTTTTTCTCAGGAACGCGTGGAGGTATCAAGCTGAAATATCATATCAAATACTCAAGTCTACTGTCCCTTAGACCTGTGAAAAAATCAAACTTCTAAGCCAACGCAATCAAGAGATACAGCCGTTTAAGCCGCAAATTTTAGATATTCGCTAGGGAATCAAAACCTAGGGTACTTGCCGTGAACTCAGAATCTTGAAATTTGGTACGAAGCAACGTTTTATAGCACAGATAAAGGAAAAATTGCGAAAAGCATAAATTTTTAGTTACAATATATAATAATAAAAATATTTTTAATAATTTTAAACTTATATACCTACAGATTTATTCGGAACCCGCGGTGCGCGAGTCCGACTCGCACTTTGCCGGTTTATTCCTATTTCGTAGTTTCAATAGAATGAAAAAATGTTTTCGCTGTGCAGGTACCGTCTGGGTTAAGTAACACTTTCTTACCTATTTTGCCGTTGCAGAGACACGACACGGGCATATAGAGTCAGTGTAATTACAGGCTATGGGGCATTCCATCTTAGTTCTCACAGAAAACCAGCGTAAAATAACAGCTTAACACTGCTGTGTTTCGTATGGTGAGTGTAGAGAACCGGAGACCCTTTTTTACTGGATACCAGACATTCCATCTTAGTCCTCAGAGGTGACAACGCAGCTGTAGCCATCTTTCTTTGAACTTGGCAGCAAATGTCTGTGGTCTGTAAGTTCGTTTCTCACTACAATTTAATAAATAATGTATACTTTTGCTATTTGTAGTGTAAAAACAAACTTCAGTTCAAGGTTAAAACTCTATATTTCATGTTAAAATAAACACAGTTGACACTTATTGTCTTTTATTTTTCAACAATGAATTAATCAACTTATAAACTTTCTATTAGCACTAGTTCACTCTGACACGACTATTACAGCACAAATTCCATTATACTCCGCGTCGGACACGCCCCTCATTCCGTTTTATAGTCCCCATCCACTGCCAGGCGGAAAGGTGTCTTAATTTTAGTAGTTTCAATACTTCTAAGTTACATATGCTGACATTTCAATTGTGGTGTAATGTAATAACTAATTACAATATTTAATTACGGTGTAAAAATAATATATTAATAATAGGATTTATTATGATTAATAATATCATCCATTACAGTAGACATTGAAAAACTTATTTCGCGTATGTTTACTGAGAAGTTAACTGTCATTTTTAAAATTTTACGCTCAAATTTACGCCACTACAGTAAGGCTTAGTATACGGAGACAACTTGATCTAAAACTCAAACTAGAATGTCAAAATTTGAGTATGTGGCACACATATTTTGACATTTTGAACTTTTATAATCAATTTTTTTTTGAAATACGTTACCTCCTCACTAGGATTAATTACTGTATCGTGGGTGCAGCTTACATACATAAATTTGACATGGACAAAAAATCCAGACCCGAAACAATTCTTTTTAGGCCGTACAAATACTTGTTACTTTGTGGTATTCGAACCCGGGGCCCTTAGCGCTGAAACTAAGCCACTGCGCCACGGAGCCGTCAATCGCATCTGAATACCCACCTAAGTTTTTCGTAATGATAATGAGTAGGTAATATTTAATACACACTATGTTCACGCAGGAACTCCAAATGCCCAATTTGCCGTTCCCTTATGACTTCGAGCGTGCGCTGGACGACTGGGTGTTCATGTGCTTCTTCGTGGGAAACGACTTTCTGCCTCACTTGCCCAGCTTGGAGATCAGGGAGGGAGCTGTGGACCGACTGGTCAACTTGTACAAGAAATGTGTATACAAAACTAAGGTATGAATATTTATTTGTATATAGAGTTGAAGATCGAGTAACATTTCTGATTTTTATTGGTCTGTGTACCTAGTGCGAGTTCCACAAAATCATTCGAATGACTTCACCATCGCGTTAACCGAGTTAACGTCATAGGTATCGACAAGCGAAGACAGGCGAGTGTGAGTTACAATCGAAGCTTACCCTTCGATCCGCGTTTGCTCACTGTGAATGGCGTTCGTTCATTCTCTTACGTTCGTTAATAAACTCGCACTCATGAATTGTGATTCCGATTATTGCCACTAGTTCGCGCTGATTTATTCCATACAAATCGTAGTTAACTTTCTCGGGATCGAACATGTAAAAAAACTCGGACTAGGCACGCAGAATTGAATTTTGATTTATTGAATAAAACTACTTTTACGGATTCATCGCGCGATGACGCGATGCTCGTGTAAATATAAGAAATCATTTTGATTTATTTCTAATTAATTGAATCAGGTGATACATTGTATTAGGGATGTAAAAATTGGGTTGTTGACATCATCATTAATAAATAATATGACTATCCTACTTTGAGTAGTGTATTAAAATTGGTCGGTTATTCATTTTAAGGTTAGACAAAAATATAGTATTTTAGACACGATTTTGACACTATAATTTTTATTCTTAAATTATGTTCGAAAAAAAAATATGCACATAAATGAAATACTCAATTAAATTATAAATATACATTATATTATTCAAAATAACCTGATAATAATCGAGATAAACAAAATTATAATTTAATCGCCGGTAATAAAACTTTGACGTTCGAGTTTTCGTTTTATTAAACGATAACCACATTTTTTCGATAATCTGAAAGGCATGTTATTGAATCAGATTCTTAATCGGCAACATTTTTTTTCTAATAGAAGGTTCAATAAGGCTCACCTGATAATCATCATCCTGTAAGTGATCACCGTCGCACATAAACATCCGCAACATCAGAGGAATTAAAGGTTCCTTGACGGCCTTTTAGGCAGGAGTAGGCTCTTTTGATTCTTTATTTCCTGACAAAAGGTTCACTAAGGCTCACCTTATGGTAAGTGATCACCGTCGCCCATAAACATCCACAACATTAGGGGAATTAAAGGTTCTTTGACGGCCTTTTAGGCAGGAGTAGGCTCTTTTGATTCTTTATTTCCTGACAATAAATAAACAAAAACATATCAAATAACCGAATGTCGCTTACTTCGTGCTGGACAAGTATGCATGCAGCGGAGAAGTGGCGCTAAAAGCCTTTTAACGTAGAACACACTCGTGAGTCGTGCAGAATCGGCCCACCTGTCCGTACAATCATATCCAAGCAGCAAAACTTATTTTCATTGTTTTCTTTCCAGGGCTGGGTCACCGACTCTGGCGATGTTAACCTCGAGCGTGTACAAGTCATAATGGACGAGCTAGGCCACGTCGAGGACGAGATCTTTAAGCGGCGGCATCACAATGAGCTCAACTTCAGGGCGCGGGATAAGGCCAAAAAGAGGCAGCAGGCTGTCAACTTTGGACTGCTGGAGAAGACTCAATTCGCGCCCATGGTAAGACTGTTTTCATATGACTATGATTTCGCTGTAGTTAGATTGGAGTGAGCTGGTTATTGCTCTTTTTGTATTGATGAGAAATTGATTTCTGCATCCTATTGCTCGTGTAATGCGTGATCGTGGACTAACCCCATGGGTGTTGTAAGATGCGACAGACGACAACTGAAACTGGCGATGGGGACAGTGTCTGTCCTGATAGTTACTAAACAATTAATAAAAAAACATCTGTTGTCAACCCACCTGCCAAGCATGGAAACTACGGCTAATATACCTCCTGTATGGTAACCGATGGGGAGGCCTATGTTCAGCAGTGGACTTTTGATGGGTTATATTAAATAAAAATATTAATATATACGATGACACAGTCCACCTGATAGTAAACGGCTCTTGTGGCTATTGGTAGCTCCATTTACCCTCGGTTAAGAATTCAAAAGCTGCGTTTGAGAACTAAAAGGGAATACGTAAAAGTAAAGTTGCAGCCTATTTACGTCCCACTGCTGAGCACAGGCCTCCTCTCATTTCTGAAAGGGTTTTAGGGGAAGGAAGTGTCTGTGCCGCGCTGCCCCAATGCGTGTTGGCAAACTTCACATGTCTTCCAATTTTTTTTCTTATTTCTCAGACATGCAGGTTTCGTCACGATGTTTTCCTTCACCGCCGAGCACGTGGTAAATCAGCACTTAAAATTGCAATTAACAATTTCATTGGTGCCGGCGTTGGGATCGAACCCGGGTTGCTCGAGTACTGTGACTCTTATAGCGAGCTCTAACAATCTGAGCTACCACGGCTAAAGGGAATACGTGGTTGCAACTAAAGAGAGTCTCCAGTTCTTGTCATTTACCTTACGAAGCATAGCAGCATTATGTGTCTGTGATTTCCTCAAAAGTGTACACTAATCTAGTTTCTGATCAGTCCGTAGGTGACGCTGCGAAGCCGGTGCAGAACGCTCGCCAGGAAGCCGCCAACATCCGTATCGCTGGCATGAACGCAGTCGCTGCTGTGAGTATCCTTATCAACTTTATTGTAATTTTCCTTTTATACTTTAAATACCATTGCTTCTCAAACTGGGGATTGTAATCAAATAAAATTAGAAAGGGTTAGCACTATATTAAAAATAAAGCATTTATTAAGAACTATCTATTTTAAATAACTAAATATATTCTGTTGTATCACTAATAATAAAAATGCTAATAAATAGTTTCCAAGCGCAAAAAGTAAATGAAAAATTGAAAGTATTGGTTAGTAAGTAGATAGTAGTAAGTTGTTCCAATTTAAGTAGTCTTAAATTACCGAACGACTAATTTGAAATGAAAACGGTTGTTAGATACACTTTGTATATAATAAAAAGGATCATAATAGAGTACAAATTGTTTCTCGAATGTGAAATACACTATAAAAAAAATTGGGCAGTAGTCCGATTTCTTTACAGTGAATTTCACTACTGTGATGGTGCTATATTTAATGCGACGGATCAGTTTGTTTTCTATGTTCAAATTTATAAGACTATGATAAAGGGTATGGGGGTTTGTACATTTTTGAAGTTACACTTCTTTTGGAGCGTTTGAGAAAAATAATGAGAGTGAATGTTACACAGTGGTTATTTAATTAAACCGCTATCAATTAATATTTAATGTATTTTTTTACAAACAAAGAGTACTGGCACACAGGATATAATTTTTAGTTATTTTTGTTTTGTTACGGTAAAGAAGTATAACTTCTTCCGTGCGTACATAAGTACAAACACAGTTTTTTTTTTTATTATTTCCCTTTTTCGAACGTCTTTGTCCAGCAGTGGTTTGATGAAAGGTTTTTCATTTAATTTCTAGCAAGAAGAGTCGAACCAGAGGGGCCGCAAGCGATCAGCAGCGGAAGCTGGGCTGGACGAAGAAGACGAGGACAAGCACGACGAGGTGCGTCTCTGGGAGGATGGCTTCAAGGAGCGCTACTACGAGAGCAAGTTCGAAGTCGCCAGGGATAACCTTGAGTTCAGGTCAGTGTAATGTTTTATTCACTGTGTAGTGTTCGCTAAAGTTTAAAACTTTTAAATATCTAGTTATTTAAACTATTATGTACAAAAGCAGTTTACTTATTCGTACAACTTCCTTATGGATCCGAATACCACGAGCGATTTTTTCGAATCAATAACCCTTAGGGACCTCCAAGAAAAGAGCTTACTCTTTTATATGGTCGGCGACGCACCTGCAATTGCCCTGTTATTGCAGAAGTTCATGGGCGGCTGTAGTCACTTACCATCACGTGAGTTTGTACCTTTTATTTTAAAAAAAAGTAATAATTATCTCCCACTCAACTATTAGGCTAAGCAGAAATAAAAAATTGTACAATATAATATTAATTACATAAGTATACAAATACATAACATAATGACATAAATACACACACACACACACACACACACACACACACACACACACACACACACACTTATATATATATATATATATATATATATATTATATATATATATATATATCTCGATGTCATGATAAATATAGAAAATGTGAGACCAGAGAAAATACTAGGGTATGTCGTGTGCGTGTGCGTGCGCGTGTGCGGGCGTGTGTGTGTGTGTGTGTGTGTGTTTGCGATTTGTGTGTTGTGTGTTCAGTCGTTTCGAGGTCATCGACCTTTTTTTAGCGGCGGTAGGCTTCTTGTCGGAGGGTTTTAAAATTTTCAATTTAAGTTATTAAAACTGCGTACGCACTATACGAGGGCTGCACTAAAAGTATCGGGAATAGAATATTTCCACTGTTCCTGTCATATTAAAATCTTTTTAATTGAAAAGTCCTTGGTTTTAAAAATCGAATACCATTTATTTATTTAAAAAAAGATTCTCGGTCGTGCCCATGAAGCTAATACAAAGGGGAGACGGCATAAGCAACTGTGCACTGTGATTCTAAGTAGGTCCTGACGTCATCATAGTGGGCGTGGCTTTAGTTAGTATACTGTCAGCATTCGTCCTGTGCACTCATGTGTTGCAAAAATCGCAAATTGATGTATTTTCGTAGTATTAAGAAGAAAAGGATGAAGTGTTGTGTTTTATTGTGTAAAAACTACTCAGATAGACGCTCTGATGTTATGGATGGCATCACATTTCATTTGTAAATAATTTTACACCTAATTTATTAAAATAGTTCTAGAAAAATCTCTTTGCGTTGGCTTTCAAATATAATTAAATATATTCGACACTAGATGGCGACACTTTGTGTCATGTGAACTAAAAATATAAAGGTCCGTATATTGGTAAAATAAACATACGAAGGTGCTGAAATTCGTTTTGCATTCAGATATAAAGTAATTTTAATCGCAAAATATTATTTTTATAGTTTATAATCATTATGTGAACAGGCCGTATTCTATCGTCAAGTAAACCTCATAAAGATAACAAAAAGACTGTGGCGTAATTAGAATTCAATTATTTTATTCAGTAATCCAACTTTCAATATTAAAATGAAGGAAATTGTACTTAGGCTGATTTTCACGAAATGTTTAAGTTATATTTAAGTGACATTCTATATGCAAAGAATCACTTAAATACAATTTAAATTCAAATTTGGCATTCAAAAAGTGCATTCGGATGCCTAATTTGGAATAAAATATTTATATTTTAATTGATTTGTAAATAAAATTATATTAATTATAATAATTTGTCTATTATTTGTTCTCCCTCAGAGATATTAAGTAGTATAACCCACAGATAAATAATAGTCCAGCCGTTTCTGCGTGAAAAAATTACACATACACAGTACATACTTAGTGTGGAATAAGCTCAAGGAGACAGAAAGAACACACAAAATTTCGCCTTTATAATATTAGTGAGATAAATAGGATATTTAGTTCCAAATTAAATATCCTACTTAATATTGAACATAGAATATTTAGTTTCAAAGAGACTTTATTTTATGGATAAAATAAATATTTTTTGAAGGTTGACTTTCACGAAATGATAAACATATTTAAATTGTATTTAAGTGATTCTTTGCATATAGAATGTCAGTTAAATATAACTTAAACATTTCGTAAAAATCAGCCAAGTACAATTTCCTTCATTTTAATATCGAATGTTGGGTTACTGGGTAAAATAATTGAATTCTAATTGCGGCCCTGTCTTTTTGTAATTTTTTATGAGGTTTACTTGACAATAGATGGCGGCTTGTTCCCAAAATTATTATGACAACTAAAAATATTATTTTGGCGATTAAAATTTCTTTGTCTGAATGTATTTGCTTCATGAGATAGACGCTCCGATGCTATGGATGGCATCACATTTCATTTGTAAGTAATTTTACACCTAATTTATTAAAATAGTTCTAGAAAAATCTCTTTGCGTCGGCTTTCAAATATAATTAAATATATTCCACACTAGATGGCGACACTTTGTGTCCTGTGAACTAAAAATATAAAGGTACGTAGAGCTCAGTAATGATAAAATAATCATACGAAGGTGCTAAAATTTGTTTTGCATTCAGACATAAAGAAATTTTAATCGCCAAAATATTATTTTTTAGTTTATAACATTTTGTGGATATGCCGCCATCTACCGTCAAGGTAGCTAAGCTACATTGCAACATTGATATGGAAAGATTCGATTAGTTTTACTATTTATCGGTAGATGCAGATAGTGTATTGGGCGGGGCTTTGCATCCCCTCACCCCGCAAATTGTCACGCGTTGTTTCATAGTGAAATTGAATAACAACGTCTCCTCTTTGTATTTGCTTCATGGTCGTGCCACAAGGTTTTATCAAACTTGTTTAGTCGTTGAGAAAATGGAATTGACTCGAGAAAATTCAAGAGCGATTAATTATTATGACTTTCGAAGTGGTTTAACACAAAAACAGTGTGTTGACCGGATGATTTCTGCATTTGGTGATGAAGCCCCATCCAAAACCACAATTTATCGCTGGTTTGCTGAATTTCAACGTGGACGTGTCAAGCTCAGTGATGATGCCCGTCAAGGTCGTCCAAAAACTGCAGTCACCCAAGAAAACGTTGATGCTGTGTGTAAGCTAATTGAGGAAGATCGACATGTGACATACCGCGAAATTCAGGCAGCTTTAGACATTGGCATGAGTCAAATACAAATAATCTTGCATGAACAATTACGTGTAAAAAAGTTGTTTTCCCGATGGATACCGCATTCGCTCTGTGAAGAGCAAAAAGCGGCTCGCGTTACTTGGTGCGTCAGAACTCTCGAAAGATTCCACGAAGGATCCCCAAATGCTGTATACAACATCGTATCAGGTGACGAATCCTGGATATATGCGTACGAACCCGAAACAAAAAACCAGTCACGAGTTTGGGTGTTCGAAAATGAGTTAAAGCCAACAAAAATTGTTCGTTCACGGAGTGTTGCAAAAAAAAATGGTGGCCACGTTTGTCTCCAAAACCGCCCATGTTACGACTATTCCTCTTGAGGGACAAAGAACGGTTAATGCAGAATGGTATGCTAGCATTTGTTTGCCACAGGTCGTTTCTGAACTCCGTAAAGAGAACTGTAACCGCCGCATCATCCTCCATCACGACAATGCGAGTTCTCACACCGCACACAGAACAAAAGAGTTTTTAGAGCAAGAAAACATAGAATTATTAGACCATCCGCCGTACAGCCCCGACCTAAGCCCTAATGATTTCTATACTTTCCCTAAAATAAAGAATAAATTGCGTGGACAGAGATTTTCATCACATGAAAAAGCTGTGGACGCCTACAAAACGGCCATTTTCGAGACCCCAACTTCCGAATGGAATGGTTGCTTCAATGATTGGTTCCATCGTATGGAAAAATGTGTCAAATTTCGCGGAGAATACTTCGAAAAGCAATAAATACATTTTTAAATAGTAATGTTGTGTAACTTCCTTAATTCCCGAAATTTTCAGTGCCGCCCTCGTACTCATATTATTTTTATAGAAAAGAAAATATATTACAGTTATTGTCTATGATTGGTCTGTAAAAGTCTACTGCTCCACATGAACCTCTCCTATTATAGAAATTATTTTCTTTAAGCAGCACGTTTGGCAGGCGCATTACCGACAATTATATTTATTTAGCTCACCGCCGCCAAATTGCTTGTTTGTCGGCCTTCAACAAATTGTACTTCGGAGTGTGTGCCTATGAGTTTCATAATCTCATACCAGCATTTTCATTCTCCTATCGGAGTATCAGACGTACTACTGGTTACCATCCACACTTGGTTGACGTTCCAAATATTTGCACTAAGCGCTTATGAGTCTTTTGTAATGCGTATAAGGAAGGAGTGGAATGCCCTGCCGGCATTTGTTTTTCCGAGTGCGCATAACCTGAACCTCTTCAAGGTGCGTGTGAACAAACTTCTCCGTGGCAAACTCGCTCCATTGTAGACCTCATCTCCGTCCTTGGGACACATAAAAGTCAGAGTGAGCCCATTTTTAATTAAAAAATTACATATTTTGGTTCTTAGTTTTTTCTTTTTTTATAGAATAAGGGTGACAAACGAGCACACAGTCCACCTGATGGTAAGTGGTTGCTGTTACCCATAGACGTCTACATTTATCCTCAGTAAAGAATCAAAATGCAGATACGTCGTCACCCGTGAGGACTAAGATGGAATACCTCTTTTCCAGTAAAATGGGTCTCCGGTCCTCTCCACTCACCATACGAAACACAGCAGTGTTAAGCTGCTATTTTACGCTGGTATTCTGTAATAGCGTGGTCCCTCCCCGGTCGAGCCGACCCATTCGTGCTACAACCATAATGTAGCTGCAGCGTGGCTCCGATACCGTTACAGCCTATTAAAGTCCACTGCTGAATATAGGCCTCCCCAATAGATTGCTCATAGGGGAGATATTTGCCTTAGTTGCCATGCTTGGCAAGGAGGTTGACAACCGCAGTTTTTTTTAATCGTTATTAGGAAAACGCTGCTGCCCATCTTCTGGTTTGTTACCCTCTGTCACTTCTTACGACACTTACGGGATGACATGGGGTAGTGGATATTCTTACACCTCCACTACACGATTATGCATGGCTCTACCATGTACAAATTTCTTGTTCGTAGGTACCGCGTGGCGCTTCAGTATGTCCGTGGGCTTTGCTGGGTGCTGCGCTACTACTACCAGGGCTGCGCCAGCTGGAAGTGGTACTTCCCCTACCACTACGCGCCCTTCGCCTCCGACTTCGTCAACATCTGCGGTCTTTCGACCAAGTTCGAGAAGGGAACCCAGCCGGTTAGTCTGTTTATTGTAGGCTTCAACATCGCGTTCTATCTATTGCCGCCACGATACAGGAAAATCCTGTATCTTGGAGGCAATAAATAGAATAGAATAACTTTTAATAAATATAGATTATTAAGTGGCGAAGCTTGCGAAGTCACTTATTGATTTCACGATGTCTGTCCGTCTGTCCGTCTGTCCCACGATTATCTCGAGAACGGTTTTGAATTTTCAAATTCTGTTTTCAGCAATCGATTACTGATCACCCAGGCATCTGAACCTCCTATTTTAAAACTGATTTGTCAACGGCAACCGTTAGAAACCGCTACAAAGCTGATTGCTTCGCCACTTTGCTATGCTGTTAGCTTGCTAGGTTTATTACATAATACTTATTGACAGCCATTTTTTTACCACTGGTTCGGAAAATACCTCTGTCCTGGGAAGAACCAGCAAGAAACCCTTTAGACCACGGATTTCAAACATTCAGACCTGGAACAGTTACTTGTAGGTAAACTCGCGGCCCTCAGCTTCGTAACTCATTGCCAAGCCACTACGCCACGGAGACGTCATACTAGCTCTTGGCCGCGACTTCGTTTGCTAGTGACTCGCAAAGGTGAAGGAAGGCGTGAGACGGTCAAAGGCCGTTATGTGTATGGAGCAAAATGTTTTATTCTTTCAAATAAACAACCTCCTTGCTAAATTTCAATTAAATCCATTATTTTTTAGTGTGATTAAACGTTAATCATCTAAATAAATAAAATATTCGCATTTATAACAAACTGACCAAAAAGGATATTCATGGATTTCTTTAAAAATAAATTCATTCATTTCAAAATAATTTGTTTATAGCATGATGTTCTCACCACTCCATTGGTTTCAACGGTTGTCTGAAATAGATTTGTGGGGAACTTGCAACTCACACATAATATATAACACAAACATACATTCACACACATACACACGCATTTAACAAACTACATTTTACACTAATAACACAAAACCATACTTACCAGTTGGCCGACGCTCGTAGGTTCGATCCCGGTGGTGTCATCGATTAATTACCATATAAGGTGCTATCTCGTGCGGCAACCGCTACAAGCGGGTGGCGTGAGCGCAACGCCTCCGTGAACCTTGATCAGTCAGTTACGTACTACGATACTTTGATAACATGCGGTACGTGCAGGCGTTGCGACACAAAAATGACCGTGTCTAAGCGAACAGACTATACTGGCAAAATAAAGTTACGCAATTATTTTGTCAACAGTTCCGACCTCTAGAGCAGCTGATGGGCGTGTTCCCGGCCGCCAGCTCGCAGCACGTGCCTGAACCCTGGGCCAAACTCATGAGTGACCCTGTGAGTATATTTCACAATTATTTTAGTAAAAATAACCCGTTCGACTTCGTAAATGGCAAGAACTATAATTATATTATTTACATTACTGTCACATTATCTTACTACGCCCAGGTTTGACTGGGAGAGAATGCCTATAGGTATTAAGTCCGCCCCTTCTAAACCTTCTGTTAAGGTGTAAACATTCAAATAAATTAATAAATGAAGTCCTATTCTTTATTACATCTAATTAAAAATTTGTATTAACATGAGATCTGATGTGTTTTTTCTTCTCTGTACAGTTCTCACCAATCATAGACTTTTATCCAACGGACTTCAAGATCGACCTGAACGGCAAGAAGTTTGCGTGGCAAGGCGTCGCGCTACTGCCCTTCGTCGACGAGAACAGACTATTCAAAGCACTCGAGCCGTATTATAAGGACCTCTCGCAGGCAGAGAGTAAGTCATCAATTATTGACTAATTTATCTTGTCTTTGTCTTCTTGCGATTGCAACATCATTCATCTTAGTCCTCAGGGGCGATAAAGCATCTGCGTTTTGATTTTAAACTAGGATAAATGTAGATGTCTGTGGTCCACAGCGCCCGCTTACTAAATGAAATTATTTACCAGAGCAACGGAACATGCGTGGACACGACCGACTGTATGTGGGTCCGGGACAGCCCAGCTACGACTTCGTACGCGGACTGTACGAGCGAGCGGGACGCGAACTGCGCACTCTTATCGTTAACGAGCAGCGCTACCCGTACCGCAGCCAGGGGGTGCGCGGCGACGTCATGCTCAGCCCGGACAACGTCTGCATTGGAGGGTCAGTAATCTCTATTTGTTGAACACTGTGCTAGTTCGTTTGCCATTACGTTACAGAGTTTTGGCGGGAACTTGACCGGCGGCGGTTTGCTGCTCCTGTATTATTGTTTAAATAATGGTTTGAAGTGGACTTTGATATGTAAAAGTGGTGCGATTTTATGTATTAAGTGTCTACGCATGTGAACTATTAGCGGAAACTGAGTAACAAGTGCTCTGATGGAGATATGATTCTCAAAATAAGGTGTCTGTCTACTTAGGTGCCTTGACATACCATCGCCAACCGTCAGCTGTCTGCTGGCTCAAGTTGCCGTCAAAATCTCCCAAGGGCTGCACAATGTGACGCATCAACATATTGTGAAGCAGTATACTATGAAGGATAATTATTATAATATATTGTAACTTCAGAACTTCATTAAATAGATTTATTATCAGGTAGGTTCTGTTGCCCTTTTCCTATTTCAGTTTCTCTTTCTCTCTATCTCCTCTTACGACACCCAAGGGATGATATGGGTCAGTGGGTTGTCTTACTTTATACCCACTAAAATAACCTTGTCAATTTAGTGGTGCTAAGGACATTCTCACGTGATAAAATCGTTTGGTAAATTAATTGCATAAGTGTTTGATATTACCCATTTTGAAGTCATGTTGTGAAGTCCAATAACACAAATAACCTTACCGCTAAAGCCGTAAATTTAATAAATAAATTTTTAAAAAGCAATCCTGATTCGAAGTCGATGTAATTAGGAAGTATGTGTTTTCTTATTTGAATAGATATAAGTGTGTGAAATAAGTATTGTTCGACCGAAACAAGATTTTCAACCGAAACCGAAACCGAAAACGAGCCTTCGGTCTGGGTGTCAGTTTCGGCCGAAACCGAAACTTATTTAGACATGTTAATTTTTTTATTGTATACTGAAATCTGGTATTTTTTTTTATACATATACAGATAGGTAATGTATGTTAATGAAAAACAGTCATTGTAATAGTCATGCAGCAATATATTTATTTATTTTAAAGTAAAAAACAACACTTTAACGTTAAGAAATACTTTTTAAGTCAATTTTGTAAAAAATAAAAATCAACACTTACACCCATAAAAAGTTACTCGCTAATTGAGAACATATTTTATTGTGTTCACAATATTGTTAATATTATTCAATGAAAACATTAACTTAATATATCACACTCGCACACTTACACACAATATACACACAACTTAACAAAATCCCAGAAAATATACAAAACCTGCTCAAAGTTCAAAAACTTTAATAAACTAAGTTTGTATAAAAAGGGTTATTATAATATTAAGGAATTTATGGATGGTAATAACCCGTAGGAATGAGCTAATCACTACCAAGCTATTTCTAATTTGTTTTGTGTTGTTAATTGTGTAAAATACATGATTGTAAGCAGTGGCGTAGCTAGGCGTGGGCGAAGTGGGCCCTCCCCTAAGGCCTCGTACATAAAGGGGCCTCGCGAGGCCCCTTAAAATGCGGTGCCCCCAGACAGATGACTAATTAATTTGATCACTTTTACGCTCGAAAAAGAAAGTCACAAATTTATGTGTGTTTGGTATGGAGCCTCGCAAGAAGCCCCTCTTAAGTGCGACTGCGGGGCCGTTGTAACTACCTTCAAAGACCGCGACTGTTACATTGACGGAATACGAGACTTGTCAGGAATTAATAGATATCAGTAGGTATGTCGTGTAAAACCATGTTTGATAGGATCTATTGGGTAAGGTCCTTGGAACGAAAGAAAAGGGGCCTCACTGATGCAACTTCTACTTTTTATGTGGTAGAGCCATGCTGCAGCTATATTAATAGTATAGTTGTAGCACGAATGGGTTGCTCGACCGGGGAAGGACCACGCTCTCACAGAATACCAGCGTAAAATAGCAGCTTAATGCTGCTGTGTTTCGTATGGTGAGTGTAGAGAACCGGAGACCCTTTTTACTGGAAAAGAGGCATTCTATCTCAGTCCTCACGGCTGACAACGCATCTACATTTTAATTTGCAAACGAAGATAGATGTAGATGTCTATGGGCCACAGCAACCACTTACCATCAGGTGGACTGTGTGCCCGTTTGTCAGACCCTTATTCTATAAAAAAAAAACTTCGCCTACGTTTATATTAATCCACGATACGCCTCTGATTGTAAGCTGTTATTTAAAAAAAATGTCCCGCTGGGTTTCTTGCTGGTTCTTCTAAGGACAGAGGTTTTTTATCGAACCAGTGGTAATGAAACAAAAGAGTGACTTTCAATAAGTATTATTTATAATCTATATTGAATAAAAAAGTTTCTGTTTCTGTATAATTATGAATAATACACGAGTCACGAACTCATCCAAATGACGCACGATAATCCACGAACACTGAGTTTCGGCGCCGCCGAAGGTTCGGCAGATTTTTTGCCGAAACCGAAACTAGATTTTTTTGCCGAAACTTGCCGAAACCGAAACCGAAACCGAATCTTCGGTCGGTCACTAGAAATAAGTGATCTCATAAAATGTAATCTCATGTTTAGTATAACATATAAGCCATTTGGTCTAGTACTGTAAGCTATTGTTGCGTCAAATAAATAAATAAATAAACACGTATTGGGGAAGCGATGTAGACATTTGGTCTGTGCCCAGACTGTGACTATATTCCTACCATAAACGTTATTAATTTCCATAATAATATATCGTTTTGTATCGTAGGCAACTAGCGTCCCCAGTTGTGGGCTTACCTCCAGTGCTGGACAACCGCGTGGTGTGCGTACGCTTCCAAGACCCTCAGTACCCGGACGATTTTATCTTCCCGGCTAGAAGACTCAAGGGTGCAACAGAACCACAACGGGTACTAAAACCTGGAGATCTCAGCGCCCAGGAGAATAGGAATTGGAGACCACAAATTGGTAAGGGCTGTTTTATTCTTTCTTAACGTATAAAATTAGTTGGTAATGGAAGTAAAGTTTCCGTGCGGTAGCAGGCGTGAGACGAGGCCAATAGGTAGGTATACTATCTTGTTCTTTTTCTTTATATTTTACATACATAAATAACATAAACACTCACACCTGTCACCCAGAGGGGTAGGCAGAGACTACGGACTACCATTTGGCACGATCCTGACACACTTTTTTTAAACATGGTAGAGTCATGCTGCAGCTATATTAGTAGTATAGTTGTAGCACGAATGGGTCGGCTCGACCGGGGAAGGACCACGCTCTCACAGAATACCAGCTTAAAACTGCTGTGTTTCGTATGGTGAGTGTAGAGAACCGGAGACCCTCTTTACTGGAAAATAGGCATTCCATCTTAGTCCTCACGGGTGACAACGCGTCTGCATTTTGATTCGTAATCGAGGATAGATGTAGATGTCTATGGGCCACAGCAACCACTTACCATCAGGTGGACTGTGTCACCCTATCCTATAAAGAAAAACACCTCTTTCGCCTCCTTTACATCCATATATCTACGCATACACGCTCGTCGGTTAAGGGTACTCCTTATCTGGCTCATTTTCAATATATCGCCAATTTCGTCGATAAATCTTCGTCTAGGGCGTCCATTCCCGACTCCGCCGTTCACATATGCAAGATAGATTTGCGTGCAACCAAGCGTGGCAACTATGGCAAATATTTCCCTTTTGATATAATCTATGTGGCAAACTATGTACGGTAGTGGACCTTGATAGGCTGTAATGATAATAATCATGATGATTCAGTCATGAAGAACCAATAACAATAAACATTACAATAATTGCATTACTATGACCTCACTAGGTTCATCAAAGTTGATGTTAGGTGAGTGTAAAAAAAAAAAGAAGGCATACTAATAATAAAAAATACGGGCTACCTGATGGTAATTGATCGCCTGTGAACATCTGCAACACTGGGGGTGTCACAGGTGCGTTTTGAGAGTAAACTTGTATCAAAGGTCCCTAAGTCGTTTCGGTCCGAAAAACCGCTGGCGACAGTAAATTCTACAGTGTCGTGGGTGGTGACAAAATTTCTTAGAAAAGAGAGAGAGAGAGAAAGAAAAGAAGAATGATAGAGAAAGTTTATTGAGAGTTGAGATGTTCCCAGGAATGGTGCGCTCTAACACGGTGGCGAGCCTGGAGCTAGCGGGCCACAGGATGCTGGGCCACAGCTTGCCGCGTGACCGTTCCTACTCCAACGTGCCGCCACCGCAACATCAGCAACATGCGTATGGACAGCACAGTAAGTCTTTTTATATCATGTACATTTTCAGATTTGTATAGCAGTAAAACATATGAAGCAGATAGACCTGGCCTCGATTAAAAATCTAAATGCAGAAGCGTTGTCACCCCGCAAGGACCAAGATGAAATGCCTTGTTAACAGTTAAAGGGGGTCATTGGATTTCGACGCTCACTATACGAAACACAACAGCAACACGCTGCTGTTTTACGCTGGTATGCGAGCGAGGTATTTCCGATCAATTCGACTCATTCGTTATTTCGAGAAACAATAAATTGTTGTATTTAGCTTACGTTTGTTACTTACTACCTAACTAGCAATAAAAATATATATTTTAAATTAGTTCCTATAAATATTCATTTATTATCTTACATAAGTTATTAACGAGAAATAAATGTATATATTTTTAATTACTTAATAAAAAATAATTTTTATTTAGTTACTCTAAATATTTATAAAATCTCTTAATATTTAGTTTAGATTAATAAGTAGCTAACTCTTAATAACAACAAATAATCTTAGTTAGTTACTAAAGTATTTATTTTTAGTTTCTAAGATATGCAGATTTCCTCATACATACATACATACATATAATCACGCCTCTTTCCCGTAGGGGTAGACAGAGACCACTTCTTTCCACTTGCTACGATCCTTACATACTTGTTTTGCTTCGTCCACTTTCATTATTCCCTTCATACATGTTCTACGGTTTAGGGTACTCTTGACCATTTCCTCATGATGTTTTATTTCATCCATTTTTTTGTTATTGCCTTCAGCCGTGGTATCTCAGATGGTTAGCGCTCGCTGTAAGCTTCACAGTACTCGAGCAACCCGGGTTCGATCCCTGCCTGCATCAATGAAATTCTTAATTGCAATTTTAAGTGCTGATTTACCACTTGCTCGGCGGCAGCGCGGCGGACATTTCCTTGCCCTAAAACCCTCTCAGAAATGAGAGGAGGCCTGTGCCCAGCAGTGGGACATTCCATCAGTCAGATGTCTGCTGGTTCAAGTTGCCGTCAAAATTTCCCAAGGGCTGCACAATGTGACGCATCAACATATTGTGAAGCAGTGTACTATGAAAGATAATTATACATTGTAACTTCAGGCTCAGAAGAGTCTGAACCCAGAGCCGTAAAGCCAGTTATAAAAAAAGGGACGCTCCGCACTAGGTGGCTCGCGTTTGCAACACAATGGTTAATGCATCTGTGGCAGCGTGCGCGCTGTATGCATATTTAGTTTAGCTAATTATAACAAGTCATTCTCGCCAACGGAGATGGTGGATGACATCTATTCATCGCAATAGAACGACGCTTCCGTAACGAGCCCTCGATTCGGACTGCGTTCGTGCGATTATGTAGCCGGCCACTCGCACTCATATTGCCAGTCCTTTGACTCGCGCCCAAAAAACCGACAAAACAGGGAGCCATGAGCATGACGTGCGGCATGACGAGTATTGTTGCTACCCTACGTCTCTGCCTTATTTATCCACTGCTACCCATGCCACTCGACCAGTGTGGGGCAGGGAAGTAAGGAGGTTTGCTAATCGTCACGTTTGTCGGTCTAATTGACGGTCGCAATACCAGACGTCTCGCACTTTTGACTATGCTACGTATAGAAATGAGCTCAACGCTGTAAGACAATTAACCAAAGACTTCCATTTTTACTACTTGGCCGACAATGAGGGCATCCACGAATTTTTCTGCCACCAGGGCGGCGCCACTAGAAAGTGAGGTATAATATTTGACAGATTTCATAGCGGGGAAGTTAATTTGTTCGGAAAATGTACAAGTTATTGTTTCTTTCTTGTACTATTAGCTATATTTTATATTAATAACATTAAAAATAAATAAACAAAACCACAGATATTCATAAAAGTAGAAAAATAAAAAAAGTTAATAAAGTGCAAAAAATTAAAGAGCAAACCACTGACGCATTGTTTTGTGTATTAGTATAATACTCTAGAAACTGGTAAACTTTTATTAAAAAACAACTTCTCAATTAAATTACATTGTGTAACAAAAAAGAAAAACTTTACCTCAGTGTCAACTAGCAACATCTGCTGGGCCTGTAGCTTACACATACTCGTTATATACGTATCTGAAAATGACAACGTTTTCTTTGTCACATTAAACAAAATCACTCTTGGATCGAAAAGAACGTTCGCTGTTTACGTAACAAAGATCTCGTCTTCTCGCCCGATTGCAGTCGACTAAACAAGTGATAAAATTAAAAATTTTGTACAACTGACTTCAATCTAAATAAAATGAGAACATCATCAATATAGTCAATTAAATGCGCATTAATAAGGATCCCTCAAAAAACTACTGATCAGATCTTGATCAATTTATATGGGACCAAATGAGAAACACCAGCTTTTAAATAAAAAAGAATAATCGAAATCGGTTCGCGGAGAAAAAAATTATGAGGTAACACACATAAAAAAAAACATACAGTCGAATTGAGTACCTCCTCCTATTTGAAGTCGGTTGAAGAAGTTACGGAAAATTTATAGTAACTTAGTGCGCAATGTATTAAGGCCGAAGAGCCCGTTTAGTACTGTACATGGAAGTCTTTGCAATAAACCGGAAATTTTCAGAACCTGTCGAAAGTCAGTTCGATTTTTAAACGATGCCCCAACTTCCTGTTAAACAAATGTAAATCGTGACCAACGATTAATTTTAAATCGACAAACTAATAGCCGTCAAACGACAACGAAATAGTTTATTAAAAATTAATCCGCGTCACGCGCTCTCCCGCCAACAATGGCGTCGGCGGGCTCCTGTAATTGGGCCACGTGACCCGTGCGCCCCTCATCGCCCGCGCGTATCGTGTGCGGGGGACGGTTCCATAACGATTGACGTGTTTATTTTTACTTCAATTTGTATTTTTGAATTATTGACTTTGTGTATCCGCGTTCTGTGTTAGCTCAGGGGCTAAATGCGCGCCTTAAATTTATCGCAGTATCAAGCATAAGATTTTTGTCTTATACGTGGTAGAGCCATACTGCAGCTATATTAGCAGTATAGTTGTAGCACGAATGGGTCGGCTCGACCGGGGAACGACCACGCTCTCACAGAATACCAGCGTAAAATAGCAGCTTAACACTGCTGTGTTTCATATGGTGAGTGTAGAGAACCGGAGACCTTTTTGTACTGGAAAAGAGGCATTCCATCTTAGTCCTCACGGGTGACAACACATCTGCATTTATTTCGCAAACGAGGATAAATGTAGATGTCTATGGGCCACAGCAACCACTCACCATCAGGTGGATTGTGTGCTCGTTTGTCACCTTATCCTATAAAAAAAAGCAACACCAGTTTGATCCCGGCCGCCAGCGGTGAAATTGTTAATAGTAATTTACGGCGAAGGAAAATTTTTTTTTATATAGAATAGGGTACAAACACGTACTCAGTCCCCCAGATAGTAAGGAGATGATGTGGCCCATAGACATCTACATCTATCGTTGATTAAGGATAAAAAGGCAGATGCGTTGTCACCGCTCAGGACTAAGATGGAATGCCTCATTTCCAGTAAAATAGATGTCCGATTCTCTACAATTACCATATGAAGAACGCACAAGCATTAAATTCTCATCTCTATAGCGTTCTCTTTAATCGTACTTACCTAAAAAATACCGCCCATTGCATACTTTTTTCTATAGATAAATAATCTCTGTATATTTTCTATAAGTGTGTATTGGACACAAAGAATATTACCGAAATAAAAAATAATGAATTGCTATTTTACGCTGGTAATCTGAGATTTCCTGCATGTCTTACCAGGTCATCATTCCTGTGAGGGGGGGGGGGGGGGGACACACACCTTACACTGCGCTTGCCGGTACGCGGTCGCCACTTGAGAACCTTTCTTCCCCATCGGTTGTCGGTTCTTCGAGCTAGCATAGCATAGCATAGCACGCCGAGCTAACTTGAGCTTCCTCATAGGGCCAGTCTGTGAGCACAGATCCTGATAGAACGCATCCGGGGAGACTGCAAACAAACATCGCATACAGTCGTAGTCGTGTGCTTATGTACTTACTACTAATGCACTACTTTTAGTAACAGTGGGGAGTCAGGAAGTTGGCGGTGTTTGCGTCGTTGACCCTGCGCCTGATGCCTTCTGTCGTGTTCGGTTGCCGTCTAATTGGGCTATGAGAGTGAGGGAATGATATGGCCCACTGGCGCATTATAATCCTGTCCTGCGCAAATGTCTAGTCTCCGTTGAAATGACCGCTGTGACCGAAATTTTGTCTAGAGATCATTATTATTTCGTTTTTAAATGAGATACGTTATACCGCCGTCAATCGGAGATAGTGATCTTCCGGGTTGCCTTACCACATCACCTCTTACCACAAGACGATCTCTTAAACAGTAAAAAAATGCTCTGAAACTGGCAAAATTGTGTTTATGTAGTTGACGTAGGCTCGGCGATCAGTAGGTACTCAAATGTACTGGGTCGCTAATTAGCGAACGGCTATTGTCCTTTGCACCCAGCTTGCGTTGCGTTGGAAATACGTTGAATGCTTTACATTGCTCGCTTTAAAACTTAAATTCGTTGGCTCAATTTAGCACATTATTTTTTCATAAAACCATACTTTACGTGGTAGAGCCATGCTGCAGCTATATTGGTTCGGCTCGACCGGGGAAGGACCACGCTCTCACAGAATACTAATGTAAAATAGAGCTTAAGGCTGATGTGTTTCGAATGGTGAGTGTAGAGAACCTTAGAAACTTTTTACTAGAAACGAGGCATTCCATCTTAGTCCTCACGGGTAACAACGCATCTGCATCTCCACTCACCATACGAAACACAGCAATATTAAGCTGCTATTTTACGCTGGTATTCTGTGAGAGCGTTGTCCTACCGGTCGAGCTGACCTATTCGTGCTACAAACATAATATAGCTGCAGTGTGGCTCTACCACGTACAATCAATTTTTTATCAAATTAATGTTGGTTCGAAGAGTCCCGATCCAGTAAAATTATCAGCTAGGAATTAGCATT